CAGCTAAAGCCGAAGACAAACCCAAGTCCCCTCTGGATTCAGTTAAGCCCAGTCCAACGACGTATTCAGATGATGAAAGCGATGAAGAATTTGGTGAACGTATACCCCAAGAACAGCCACTCCCTTCGTTTGCTTCTTCTGTAGTTTCTGGAGATAAATCTCCTCTTAAAGACATTCTTAAACTAGAAACGGTGACTGATTTCAAGGCAGAAGAATTTGCAAGTTCCACGAAAACAAATATTGCCACTGTGGTCTCGAAGACTTCCGATTTGATTACAAGTTCATTCACTGACGACAAACCTAAACTAACTGACTTGGAGGACGATAAGCCCATTGACTTGAAAGACGATAGGGTCCAAGCTATGCACGAGGATAAACCCAAGTCCCCTCTGGACTCAGTAAAAAGCGATGAGGAATATGGGGTTCCTAGACCCCAAGAAAAGCCCGCTAGTCAGCCAATTCCATCAGTTGTTCCAACTCTCGTTGCTTTAGATAAATCTCCGCTTAAACCTGAAGAGAAACCAGCATCAGCTGTCTTGAAAGACGATAAGATCCCAGCTAAACCCGAAGACAAACCCAAGTCCCCTCTGGACTCAGTAAAAAGCGATGAGGAATATGGTGTTCCTAGACCCCAAGAAAAGCCCACTAGTCAGCCAATTCCATCAGTTGTTCCATCTCTCGTTGCATTAGATAAATCTCCTCTTAAACCTGAAGAGAAACAAGCACCAGTTGTCTTGAAAGACGATAAGATCCCAGCTAAACCCGAAGACAAACCCAAGTCCCCTCTGGACTCAGTAAAAAGCGATGAGGAATATGGTGTTCCTAGACCCCAAGAAAAGCCCGCTAGTCAGCCCATTCCATCAGTTGTTCCATCTCTCGTTGCTGGAGATAAATCTCCGCTTAAACTTGAAGAGAAACCAGCACCAGTTGCCTTGAAAGACGATAAGATCCCAGCTCAACGCAAAGACAAACCAAAGTCCCCTCTGGACTCAGTAAAACCCAGTCGTACAGTGTATTCAGACGATGAAAGTGATGAGGTCTATGGCGTTCCTAGACTCCAAGAAAAGCCACTACCGTCGGTTGTTTCTTCTGTTCTTGCTGGTGATAAATCTCCGCTTAAAGACATCCTTAAACAAGAAACGGTGACTGAGTTCAAGGCAGAAGAATTTGCTAGTGTTACCAAAACAACTATTGCAACTGTGGTCTCGAAGACTTCCGATTTGATTACAAGTTCATTCACTGACGACAAACCTAAACTAACTGACTTGGAGGACGATAAGCCCATTGACTTGAAAGACGATAGGGTCCAAGCTAAGCACGAGGATACACCTAAGTCCCCTCTTGACTCAGTTAAGTCTAGTCTCATAGTGTATTCAGACGATGAAAGTGATGAAGAATATGGTGTCCTTAGACCCCAAGAAAAGCCCGCTAGTCAGCCAATTCCATCAGCTGATCCATATCTCGTTGCTGGAGATAAATCTCAGCTTAAACCTAAAGAAACACCAGTTGTGTTGAAAGACGATAAGATCCCAGCAAAACCCGAAGACAAACTCAAGTCCCCCCTGGACACAGTAAAAAGCGATGAGGAATATGGTGTTCCTAGACCCCAAGAAAAGCCCGCTAGTCAGCCAATTCCATCAGTTGTTCCATCTCTCGTTGCTGGAGATAAATCTCCGCTTAAAACTGAAGAGAAACCAGCATCAGCTGACTTGAAAGAAGATAAGATCCCAGCTAAAGCCGAAGACAAACCCAAGTCCCCTCTGGATTCAGTTAAGCCCAGTCCAACGACGTATTCAGATGATGAAAGCGATGAAGAATTTGGTGAACGTATACCCCAAGAACAGCCACTCCCTTCGTTTGTTTCTTCTGTAGTTTCTGGAGATAAATCTCCTCTTAAAGACATTCTTAAACTAGAAACGGTGACTGATTTCAAGGCAGAAGAATTTGCAAGTTCCACTAAAACAAATATTTCCACTGTGGTCTCGAAGACTTCCGATTTGATTACAAGTTCATTCACTGACGACAAACCTAAACTAACTGACTTGGAGGACGATAAGCCCATTGACTTGAAAGACGATAGGGTCCAAGCTATGCACGAGGATAAACCCAAGTCCCCTCTGGACTCAGTAAAAAGCGATGAGGAATATGGGGTTCCTAGACCCCAAGAAAAGCCCGCTAGTCAGCCAATTCCATCAGTTGTTCCAACTCTCGTTGCTTTAGATAAATCTCCGCTTAAACCTGAAGAGAAACCAGCATCAGCTGTCTTGAAAGACGATAAGATCCCAGCTAAACCCGAAGACAAACCCAAGTCCCCTCTGGACTCAGTAAAAAGCGATGAGGAATATGGTGTTCCTAGACCCCAAGAAAAGCCCACTAGTCAGCCAAATCCATCAGTTGTTCCATCTCTCGTTGCTTTAGATAAATCTCCTCTTAAACCTGAAGAGAAACAAGCACCAGTTGTCTTGAAAGACGATAAGATCCCAGCTAAACCCGAAGACAAACCCAAGTCCCCTCTGGACTCAGTAAAAAGCGATGACGAATATGGTGTCCCTAGACCCCAAGAAAAGCCCGCTAGTCACCCAATTCCATCAGTTGTTCCATCTCTCGTTGCTGGAGATAAATCTCCGCTTAAAACTGAAGAGAAACCAGCATCAGCTGAGTTGAAAGAAGATAAGATCTCAGCAAAACCCGAAGACAAACCCAAGTCCCCTCTGGACTCAGTAAAAAGCGATGAGGAATATGGTGTTCCTAGACCCCAAGAAAAGCCTGCTAGTCAGCCAATTCCATCAGTTGTTCCATCTCTCGTTGCTGGAGATAAATCTCCGCTTAAAACTGAAGAGAAACCAGCATCAGCTGACTTGAAAGACGATAAGATCCCAGCTAAACCCGAAGACAAACCCAAGTCCCCTCTGGACTCAGTAAAAGGCGATGACGAATATGGTGTTCCTAGACCCCAAGAAAAGCCCGCTAGTCAGCCAATTCCATCAGCTGATCCATATCTCGTTGCTGGAGATAAATCTCCGCTTAAACCTAAAGAAAATCCAGCACCAGTTGTGTTGAAAGACGATAAGATCCCAGCAAAACCCGAAGACAAGCCCAAGTCCCCCCTGGACTCAGTAAAAAGCGATGAGGAATATGGTGTTCCTAGACCCCAAGAAAAGCCCGCTAGTCAGCCCATTCCATCAGTTGTTCCATCTCTCGTTGCTGGAGATAAATCTCCGCTTAAACTTGAAGAGAAACCAGCACTAGTTGCCTTGAAAGACGATAAGATCCCAGCTCAACCCAAAGACAAACCCAAGTCCCCTCTGGACTCAGTAAAACCCAGTCGTACAGTGTATTCAGACGATGAAAGTGATGAGGTCTATGGTGTTCCTAGACTTCAAGAAAAGCCACTCCCGTCGGTTGTTTCTTCTGTTCTTGCTGGTGATAAATCTCCGCTTAAAGACATCCTTAAACAAGAAACGGTGACTGAGTTCAAGGCAGAAGAATTTGCAAGTGTTACCAAAACAACTATTGCAACTGTGGTCTCGAAGACTTCCGATTTGATTACAAGTTCATTCACTGACGACAAACCTAAGCTAACTGACTTGGAGGACGATAAGCCCATTGCCTTGAAAGACGATAGGGTCCAAGCTAAGCACGAGGAAAAACCCAAGTCCTCTCTTGACTCAGTTAAGTCTAGTCTCATAGTGTATTCAGATGATGAAAGTGATGAGGAATATGGTGTTCCTAGACCCCAAGAAAAGCCCGCTAGTCAGCCAATTCCATCAGTTGTTCCATCTATCGTTGCTTTAGATGAATCTCCTCTTAAACCTGAAGAGAAACCAGCACCAGTTGTCTTGAAAGACGATAAGATCCCAGCTAAACCCGAAGACAAACCCAAGTGCCCTTTGGACTCAGTAAAAAGCGATGACGAATATGGTGTTCCTAGACCCCAAGAAATGCCCGCTAGTCAGCCAATTCCATCAGTTGTTCCAGCTCTCGTTGCTGGAGATAAATCTCCGCTTAAAACTGAAGAGAAACCAGCATCAGCTGACTTGAAAAAAGATAAGATCCCAGCTAAACCCGAAGACAAACCCAAGTCTCCTCTGGACTCAGTAAAAAGCGATGAGGAATATAGTGTTTCTAGACCCCAAGAAAAACCCGCTAGTCAGCCAATTCCATCAGTTGTTCCATCTCTCGTTGCTTTAGAAACATCTCCTCCTAAACCCGAAGAGAAATCAGCACCAGTTGTCTTGAAAGACGACAAGATCCCAGCTAAACCCGAAGACAAACCCAAGTCCCCTCTGGGTTCAGTTAAGCCCAGTCCTGCGATGTATTCAGATGATGAAAGCGATGAAGAATTTGGTGATCGTAGACCCCAAGAAAAGCCACTACCTGCGTTTGTTTCTTCTGTAGTTTCTGGAGATAAATCTCCTCTTAAAGATATTCTTAAACCAGAAACGGTGACTAATTTCAAGGCAGAAGAATTTGCAAGTTCTACTAAAACAAATATTGCCACTGTGGTCTCGAAGACTTCCGATTTGATTACAAGTTCATTCACTGACGACAAACCTAAGCTAACTGACTTGGAGGACGATAAGCCCATTGACTTGAAAGACGATAGGGTCCAAGCTAAGCACGAGGATAAACCCAAGTCCCCTCTGGACTCAGTTAAGTCTACTCTCATAGTGTATTCAGACGATGAAAGTGAAGAGGAATATGGTTATCCTAGACCCCAAGGAAAGCCCGCTAGTCAGCCAATTCCATCAGCTGATCCATATCTCGTTGCTGGAGATAAATCTCCGCTTAAAACTGAAGAGAAACCAGCATCAGCTGACTTGAAAAAAGATAAGATCCCAGCTAAACCCGAAGACAAACCCAAGTCTCCTCTGGACTCAGTAAAAAGCGATGAGGAATATGGTGTTCCTAGACCCCAAGAAAATCCCGTTAGTCAGCCAATTCCATCAGTTGTTTCATCTCTCGTTGCTGGGGATAAGTCTCCGCTTAAAACTGAAGAAAAACCAGCATCAGCTGACTTGAAAGAAGATAAGATCCCAGCTAAACCCGAAGACAAACCCAAGTCCTCTCTGGATTCAGTTAAGCCCAGTCCTACGATGCATTCAGATGATGAAAGCGATGAAGAATTTGGTGAACGTATACCCCAAGAACAGCCACTCCCTTCGTTTGTTTCTTCTGTAGTTTCTGGAGATAAATCTCCTCTTAAAGACATCCTTAAACTAGAAACGGTGACTGTGTCCAAGGCAGAAGAATTTGCAAGCTATACTAAAACAAATATTGCCACTGTGGTCTCGAAGACTTCCGATTTGATTACAAGTTCATTCACTGACGACAAACCTAAGCTAACTGACTTGGAGGACGATAAGCCCATTGACTCGAAAGACGATAGGGTCCAAGCTAAGCACGAGGATAAACCCAAGTCCCCTCTGGACTCAGTTAAGTCTAGTCTCATAGTGTATTCAGACGATGAAAGTGAAGAGGAATATGGTTCTCCTAGACCCCAAGGAAAGCCCGCTAGTCAGCCAATTCCATCAGCTGATCCATATCTCGTTGCTGGAGATAAATCTCCGCTTAAACCTGGAGAGAAACCAGCACCAGTTGTGTTGAAAGACGATAAGATCCCAGCTAAACCCGAAGACAAACCCAAGTCCCCTCTGGAGTCAGTAAAAAGCGATGAGGAATATGGTGTTCCTAGACCCCAAGAAAATCCCGTTAGTCAGCCAATTCCATCAGTTGTTTCATCTCTCGTTGCTGGGGATAAGTCTCCGCTTAAAACTGAAGAGAAACCAGCATCAGCTGACTTGAAAGAAGATAAGATCCCAGCTAAACCCGAAGACAAACCCAAGTCCCCTCTGGATTCAGTTAAGCCCAGTCCTACGATGCATTCAGATGATGAAAGCGATGAAGAATTTGGTGAACGTATACCCCAAGAACAGCCACTCCCTTCGTTTGTTTCTTCTGTAGTTTCTGGAGATAAATCTCCTCTTAAAGATATTCTTAAACCAGAAACGGTGACTAATTTCAAGGCAGAAGAATTTGCAAGTTCTACTAAAACAAATATTGCCACTGTGGTCTCGAAGACTTCCGATTTGATTACAAGTTCATTCACTGACGACAAACCTAAGCTAACTGACTTGGAGGACGATAAGCCCATTGACTCGAAAGACGATAGGGTCCAAGCTAAGCACGAGGATAAACCCAAGTCCCCTCTTGACTCAGTTAAGTCTAGTCTCATAGTGTATTCAGACGATGAAAGTGACGAGGAATATGGTTTTCCTAGACCCCAAGAAAAGCCCGCTTGTCAGCCAATTCCATCAGTTGTTCCATCTCTCGTTGCTTTAGATAAATCTCCTCTTAAACCTGAAGAGAAACCAGCACCAATTGTCATAAAGGACGATAAGATCCCAGCTAAACCCGAAGACAAACCCAAGTCCCTTCTGGATTCAGTAAAAAGCGATGAGGAATATGGTGTTTCTAGACCCCAAGAAAAACCCGCTAGTCAGCCAATTCCATCAGTTGTTCCATCTCTCATTGCTGGAGATAAATCTCCGCTTAAAACTGAAGAGAAACCAGCATCAGCTGACTTGAAAGAAGATAAGATCCCAGCTAAAGCCGAAGTCAAACCCAAGTCCCCTCTGGATTCAGTTAAGCCCAGTCCTACGATTCATTCAGATGATGAAAGCGATGAAGAATTTGGTGAACGTATACCCCAAGAACAGCCACTCCCTTCGTTTGTTTCTTCTGTAGTTTCTGGAGATAAATCTCCTCTTAAAGACATCCTTAAACTAGAAACGTCCAAGGCAGAAGAATTTGCAAGCTATACTAAAACAAATATTGCCACTGTGGTCTCGAAGACTTCCGATTTGATTACAAGTTCATTCACTGACGACAAACCCAAACTAACTGACTTGGAGGACGATAAGCCCATTGACTTGAAAGACGATAGGGTCCAAGCTAAGCACGAGGATAAACCCAAGTCCCCTCTTGACTCAGTTAAGTCTAGTCTCATAGTGTATTCAGACGATGAAAGTGACGAGGAATATGGTTTTCCTAGACCCCAAGAAAAGCCCGCTTGTCAGCCAATTCCATCAGTTGTTCCATCTCTCGTTGCTTTAGATAAATCTCCTCTTAAACCTGAAGAGAAACCAGCACCAATTGTCATAAAGGACGATAAGATCCCAGCTAAACCCGAAGACAAACCCAAGTCCCTTCTGGATTCAGTAAAAAGCGATGAGGAATATGGTGTTTCTAGACCCCAAGAAAAACCCGCTAGTCAGCCAATTCCATCAGTTGTTCCATCTCTCATTGCTGGAGATAAATCTCCGCTTAAAACTGAAGAGAAACCAGCATCAGCTGACTTGAAAGAAGATAAGATCCCAGCTAAAGCCGAAGTCAAACCCAAGTCCCCTCTGGATTCAGTTAAGCCCAGTCCTACGATTCATTCAGATGATGAAAGCGATGAAGAATTTGGTGAACGTATACCCCAAGAACAGCCACTCCCTTCGTTTGTTTCTTCTGTAGTTTCTGGAGATAAATCTCCTCTTAAAGACATCCTTAAACTAGAAACGGTGACTGTGTCCCAGGCTGAAGAATTTGCAAGCTATACTAAAACAAATATTGCCACTGTGATCTCGAAGACTTCCGATTTGATTACAAGTTCATTCACTGACGACAAACCCAAACTAACTGACTTGGAGGACGATAAGCCCATTGACTTGAAAGACGATAGGGTGCAAGCTAAGCACGAGGATAAACCCAAGTCCCCTCTGGACTCAGTTAAGTCTAGTTTCATAGTGTATTCAGACGATGAAAGTGAAGAGGAATATGGTTATCCTAGACCCCAAGGAAAGCCCGCTAGTCAGCCAATTCCATCAGCTGATCCATATCTCGTTGCTGGAGATAAATCTCCGCTTAAACCTGAAGAAAAACCAGCACCAGTTGTCTTGAAAGACGATAAGATCCCCGCAAAATCCGAAGACAAACCCAGGTCCCCTCTGGATTCAGTTAAGCCCAGTCGTAGAGTGTATTCAGACGATGAAAGCGATGAGGAATATGGGGTTCCTAGACCCCAAGAAAAGCCCGCTAGTCAGCCAATTACATCAGTTGTTCCATCTCTCGTTGCTTTAGATAAATCTCCTCTTAAACCGGAAGAGAAATCAGCGCCAGTTGTCTTAAAAGACGATAAGATCCCAGCTAAACCCGAAGACAAACCCAGGTCCCCTCTGGATTCAGTTAATCCCAGTCGTACAGTGTATTCAGACCATGAAAGCGATGAGGAATATGGAGTTCCTAGACCCCAAGAAAAGCCCGCTAGTCAGCCAATTCCATCAGTTGTTCCATCTCTCGTTGCTTTAGAAAAATCTCCTCTTAAACCTGAAGAGAAATCAGCAGCAGTTGTCTTGAAAGACGACAAGATCCCAGCTAAAACCGAAGCCAAACCCAAGTCCCCTCTGGATTCAGTTAAGCCCAGTCGTACAGTGTATTCAGACGATGAAAGCGATGAGGAATATGGAGTTCCTAGACCCCAAGAAAAGCCCGCAAGTCAGCCAATTCCATCAGTTGTTCCATCTCTCGTTGCTTTAGATAAATCTCCTCTTAAGCCGGAAGAGAAATCAGCACCAGTTGTAATAAAAGACGATAAGATCCCAGCTAAACCCGAAGACAAACCCAAGTCCCCTCTGGACTCAGTAAAAAGCGATGAGGAATATGGTGTTCCTAGACCCCAAGAAAAGCCCGCTAGTCAGCCAATTCCATCAGTTGTTCCATCTATCGTTGCTGGAGATAAATCTCCGCTTAAAACTGAAGATAAACCAGCATCAGCTGACTTGAAAGACGGTAAGATCCCAGCAAAATCCGAAGACAAACCCAAGTCCCCTCTGGATTCAGTTAAGCCCAGTCGTACAGTGTATTCAGACGATGAAAGCGATGAGGAATATGGTGTTCCTAGACCCCAAGAAAAGCCCGCTAGTCAGCCAATTCCATCAGTTGTTCCATCTCTCGTTGCTTTAGAAAAATCTCCTCTTAAACCTGAAGAGAAATCAGCACCAGTTGTCTTGAAAGACGACAAGATCCCAGCTAAACCCGAAGACAAACCCAAGTCCCCTCTGCATTCAGTAAAGCCCAGTCCTGCGATGTATTCAGATGATGAAAGCGATGAAGAATTTGGTGATCGTAGACCCCAAGAAAAGCCACTACCTGCGTTTGTTTCTTCTGTAGTTTCTGGAGATAAATCTCCTCTTAAAGATATCCTTAAACTAGAAACGGTGACTGTGTCCAAGGCAGAAGAATTTGCAAGCTATACTAAAACAAATATTGCCACTGTGGTCTCGAAGACTTCCGATTTGATTACAAGTTCATTCACTGACGACAAACCCAAACTAACTGACTTGGAGGACGATAAGCCCATTGACTTGAAAGACGATAGGGTCCAAGCTAAGCACGGTGATAAACCCAAGTCCCCTCTTGACTCAGTTAAGTCTAGTCTCATAGTGTATTCAGATGATGAAAGTGACGAGGAATATGGTTTTCCTAGACCCCAAGAAAAGCCCGCTTGTCAGCCAATTCCATCAGTTGTTCCATCTCTCGTTGCTTTAGATAAATCTCCTCTTAAACCTGAAGAGAAACCAGCACCAATTGTTATAAAGGACGATAAGATCCCAGCTAAACCCGAAGACAAACCCAAGTCCCTTCTGGATTCAGTTAAGCCCAGTCCTACGATGTATTCAGATGATGAAAGTGATGAAGAATTTGGTGAACGTATTCCCCAAGAACAGCCACTCCCTTCGTTTGTTCCTTCTGTAGTTCCTGGAGATAAATCTCCTCTTAAAGACATCCTTAAACTAAAAACGGTGACTGAGTTCAAGGCTGAAGAATTTTCAAGTTTTACTAAAACAAATATTGCCACTGTGGTCTCGAAGACTTCCGATTTGATTACAAGTTCATTCACTGACGACAAACCCAAACTAACTGACTTGGAGGACGATAAGCCCATTGACTTGAAAGACGAGAGGGTCCAAGCTAAGCACGAGAATAAGCCCAAGTCCCCTCTGGAGTCAGTTAAGTCTAGTCTCATAGTGTATTCAGATGATGAAAGTGACGAGGAATATGGTTTTCCTAGACCCCAAGAAAAGCCCGCTTGTCAGCCAATTCCATCAGTTGTTCCATCTCTCGTTGCTTTAGATAAATCTCCTCTTAAACCTGAAGAGAAACCAGCACCAATTGTCATAAGGGACGATAAGATCCCAGCTAAACCCGAAGACAAACCCAAGTCCTTTCTGGATTCAGTTAAGCCCAGTCCTACGATGTATTCAGATGATGAAAGTGATGAAGAATTTGGTGAACGTATTCCCCAAGAACAGCCACTCCCTTCGTTTGTTCCTTCTGTAGTTCCTGGAGATAAATCTCCTCTTAAAGACATCCTTAAACTAAAAACGGTGACTGAGTTCAAGGCTGAAGAATTTGCAAGTTTTACTAAAACAAATATTGCCACTGTGGTCTCGAAGACTTCCGATTTGATTACAAGTTCATTCACTGACGACAAACCCAAACTAACTGACTTGGAGGACGATAAGCCCATTGAGTTGAAAGACGAGAGGGTCCAAGCTAAGCACGAGGATAAACCCAAGTCCCCTCTGGACTCAGTTAAGTCTAGTCTCATAGTGTATTCAGACGATGAAAGTGAAGAGGAATATGGTGATCCTAGACCCCAAGGAAAGCCCGCTAGTCAGCCAATTCCATCAGCTGATCCATATCTCGTTGCTGGAGATAAATCTCCGCTTAAACCTGAAGAAAAACCAGCACCAGTTGTCTTGAAAGACGATAAGATCTCCGCAAAATCCGAAGACAAACCCAGGTCCCCTCTGGATTCAGTTAAGCCCAGTCGTACAGTGTATTCAGACGATGAAAGCGATGAGGAATATGGAGTTCCTAGACCCCAAGAAAAGCCCGCTAGTCAGCCAATTCCATCAGTTGTTCCATCTCTCGTTGCTTTAGAAAAATCTCCTCTTAAAACTGAAGAGAAACCAGCATCAGCTGACTTGAAAGACGGTAAGATCCCAGCAAAACCCGAAGACAAACCCAAGTCCCCTCTGGATTCAGTTAAGCCCAGTCGTACAGTGTATTCAGACGATGAAAGCGATGAGGAATATGGTGTTCCTAGACCCCAAGAAAAGCCCGCTAGTCAGCCAATTCCATCAGTTGTTCCATCTCTCGTTGCTTTAGAAAAATCTCCTCTTAAACCTGAAGAGAAATCAGCACCAGTTGTCTTGAAAGACGACAAGATTCCAGCAAAACCCGAAGACAAACCCAAGTCCCCTCTGGATTTAGTTAAGCCCAGTCGTACAGTGTATTCAGACGATGAAAGCGATGAGGAATATGGTGTTCCTAGTCCCCAAGAAAAGCCCGCTAGTCAGCCAATTCCATCAGTTGTTCCATCTATCGTTGCTGGAGATAAATCTCCGCTTAAACCTGAAGAGAAATCAGCACCAGTTGTCTTGAAAGACGATAAGATCCCCGCAAAATCCGAAGACAAACCCAGGTCCCCTCTGGATTCAGTTAAGCCCAGTCGTACAGTGTATTCAGACGATGAAAGCGATGAGGAATATGGAGTTCCTAGACCCCAAGAAAAGCCCGCTAGTCAGCCAATTCCATCAGCTGATCCATATCTCGTTGCTGGAGATAAATCTCCGCTTAAACCTGAAGAAAAACCAGCACCAGTTGTCTTGAAAGACGATAAGATCCCCGCAAAATCCGAAGACAAAGCCAGGTCCCCTCTGGATTCAGTTAAGCCCAGTCGTACAGTGTATTCAGACGATGAAAGCGATGAGGAATATGGAGTTCCTAGACCCCAAGAAAAGCCCGCTAGTCAGCCAATTCCATCAGTTGTTCCATCTCTCGTTGCTTTAGAAAAATCTCCTCTTAAACCTGAAGAGAAATCAGCACCAGTTGTCTTGAAAGACGACAAGATCCCAGCTAAACCCGAAGACAAACCCAAGTCCCCTCTGGATTCAGTTAAGCCCAGTCGTACAGTGTATTCAGACGATGAAAGCGATGAGGAATATGGAGTTCCTAGACCCCAAGAAAAGCCCGCAAGTCAGCCAATTCCATCAGTTGTTCCATCTCTCGTTGCTTTAGATAAATCTCCTCTTAAGCCGGAAGAGAAATCAGCACCAGTTGCCTTAAAAGACGATAAGATCCCAGCTAAACCCGAAGACAAACCCAAGTCCCCTCTGGACTCAGTAAAAAGCGATGAGGAATATGGTGATCCTAGGCCCCAAGGAAAGCCCGCTAGTCAGCCAATTCCATCAGCTGATCCATATCTCGTTGCTGGAGATAAATCTCCGCTTAAACCTGAAGAAAAACCAGCACCAGTTGTCTTGAAAGACGATAAGATCCCCGCAAAATCCGAAGACAAAGCCAGGTCCCCTCTGGATTCAGTTAAGCCCAGTCGTACAGTGTATTCAGACGATGAAAGCGATGAGGAATATGGAGTTCCTAGACCCCAAGAAAAGCCCGCTAGTCAGCCAATTCCATCAGTTGTTCCATCTCTCGTTGCTTTAGAAAAATCTCCTCTTAAACCTGAAGAGAAATCAGCACCAGTTGTCTTGAAAGACGACAAGATCCCAGCTAAACCCGAAGACAAACCCAAGTCCCCTCTGGATTCAGTTAAGCCCAGTCGTACAGTGTATTCAGACGATGAAAGCGATGAGGAATATGGAGTTCCTAGACCCCAAGAAAAGCCCGCAAGTCAGCCAATTCCATCAGTTGTTCCATCTCTCGTTGCTTTAGATAAATCTCCTCTTAAGCCGGAAGAGAAATCAGCACCAGTTGCCTTAAAAGACGATAAGATCCCAGCTAAACCCGAAGACAAACCCAAGTCCCCTCTGGACTCAGTAAAAAGCGATGAGGAATATGGTGATCCTAGACCCCAAGGAAAGCCCGCTAGTCAGCCAATTCCATCAGCTGATCCATATCTCGTTGCTGGAGATAAATCTCCGCTTAAACCTGAAGAAAAACCAGCACCAGTTGTCTTGAAAGGCGATAAGATCCCCGCAAAATCCGAAGACAAAGCCAGGTCCCCTCTGGATTCAGTTAAGCCCAGTCGTACAGTGTATTCAGACGATGAAAGCGATGAGGAATATGGAGTTCCTAGACCCCAAGAAAAGCCCGCTAGTCAGCCAATTCCATCAGTTGCTCCATCTCTCGTTGCTTTAGAAAAATCTCCTCTTAAACCTGGAGAGAAAACAGCACCAGTTGTCTTGAAAGACGACAAGATCCCAGCTAAACCCGAAGACAAGCCCAAGTCCCCTCTGGATTCAGTTAAGCCCAGTCGTACAGTGTATTCAGACGATGAAAGCGATGAGGAATATGGAGTTCCTAGACCCCAAGAAAAGCCCGCAAGTCAGCCAATTCCATCAGTTGTTCCATCTCTCGTTGCTTTAGATAAATCTCCTCTTAAGCCGGAAGAGAAATCAGCACCAGTTGCCTTAAAAGACGATAAGATCCCAGCTAAACCCGAAGACAAACCCAAGTCCCCTCTGGACTCAGTAAAAAGCGATGAGGAATATGGTGATCCTAGACCCCAAGGAAAGCCCGCTAGTCAGCCAATTCCATCAGCTGATCCATATCTCGTTGCTGGAGATAAATCTCCGCTTAAACCTGAAGAAAAACCAGCACCAGTTGTCTTGAAAGACGATAAGATCCCCGCAAAATCCGAAGACAAAGCCAGGTCCCCTCTGGATTCAGTTAAGCCCAGTCGTACAGTGTATTCAGACGATGAAAGCGATGAGGAATATGGAGTTCCTAGACCCCAAGAAAAGCCCGCTAGTCAGCCAATTCCATCAGTTGTTCCATCTCTCGTTGCTTTAGATAAATCTCCTCTTAAACCGGAAGAGAAATCAGCACCAGTTGTCTTAAAAGACGATAAGATCCCAGCTAAACCCGAAGACAAACCCAGGTCCCCTCTGGATTCAGTTAAGCCCAGTCGTACAGTGTATTCAGACGATGAAAGCGATGAGGAATATGGAGTTCCTAGACCCCAAGAAAAGCCCGCTAGTCAGCCAATTCCATCAGTTGTTCCATCTCTCGTTGCTTTAGAAAAATCTCCTCTTAAAACTGAAGAGAAACCAGCATCAGCTGACTTGAAAGACGGTAAGATCCCAGCAAAACCCGAAGACAAACCCAAGTCCCCTCTGGACTCAGTAAAAAGCGATGAGGAATATGGTGTTCCTAGACCCCAAGAAAAGCCCGCTAGTCAGCCAATTCCATCAGTTGTTCCATCTATCGTTGCTGGAGATAAATCTCCTCTTAAACCTGAAGAGAAACCAGTACCAGTTGTCTTAAAAGACGATAAGATCCCAGCTAAACCCGAAGACAAACCCAAGTCCCTTCTGGATTCAGTTAAGCCCAGTCCTACGATGTATTCAGATGATGAAAGCGATGAAGAATTTGGTGAACGTGTACCCCAAGAACAGCCACTCCCTTCGTTTGTTTCTTCTGTAGTTTCTGGAGATAAATCTCCTCTTAAAGACATCCTTGAAATAGTAACGGTGACTGAGTCCAAGGCAGAAGAATTTGCAAGCTATACTAAAACAAATATTGCCACAGTGGTCTCGAAGACTTCCGATTTGATTACAAGTTCATTCACTGACGACAAACCCAAACTAACTGACTTGGAGGACGATAAGCCCATTGACTTGAAAGACGATAGGGTCCAAGCTAAGCACGGTGATAAACCCAAGTCCCCTCTTGACTCAGTTAAGTCTAGTCTCATAGTGTATTCAGACGATGAAAGTGATGAGGAATATTGTGTTCCTAGACCCCAACAAATGCCTGCTAGTCAGCCAATTCCATCAGTTGTTCCATCTCTCGTTGATTTAGATAAATCTCCGCTTAAACCTGACGAGAAATCAGCACCAGTTGTCTTGAAAGACGACAAGATCCCAGCTAAACCCGAAGACAAACCCAAGTCCCCTCTGGATTCAGTTAAGCCCAGTCCTGCGATGTATTCAGATGATGAAAGCGATGAAGAATTTGGTGATCGTAGACCCCAAGAAAAGCCACTACCTGCGTTTGTTTCTTCTGTAGTTTCTGGAGATAAATCTCCTCTTAAAGATATCCTTAAACTAGAAACGGTGACTGTGTCCAAGGCAGAAGAATTTGCAAGCTATACTAAAGCAAATATTGCCACTGTGGTCTCGAAGACTTCCGATTTGATTACAAGTTCATTCACTGACGACAAACCCAAACTAACTGACTTGGAGGACGATAAGCCCATTGACTTGAAAGACGATAGGGTCCAAGCTAAGCACGAGGATAAACCCAAGTCCCCTCTTGACTCACTTAACTCTAGTCTCATAGTGTATTCAGACGATGAAAGCGATGAGGAATATCGTGTTCCTAGACCACAAGAAAATCCCGCTAGTCAGCCAATTCAATCAGCTGATCCATATCTCGTTGCTGGAGATAAATCTCCGCTTAAACCTGAAGAAAACCCAGCACCAGTTGTCTTGAAAGACGATAAGATCCCCGCAAAACCCGAAGACAAACCCAGGTCCCCTCTGGATTCAGTTAAGCCCAGTCGTACAGTGTATTCAGACGATGAAAGCGATGAAGAATATGGAGTTCCTAGACCCCAAGAAAAGCCCGCTAGTCAGCCAATTCCATCAGTTGTTCCATCTCTCGTTGCTTTAGATAAATCTCCTCTTAAACCGGAAGAGAAATCAGCACCAGTTGTCTTAAAAGACGATACGATCCCAGCTAAACCCGAAGACAAACCCAAGTCCCCTCTGGACTCAGTAAAAAGCGATGAGGAATATGGTGTTCCTAGACCCCAAGAAAAGCCCGCTAGTCAGCCAATTCCATCAGTTGTTCCATCTATCGTTGCTGGAGATAAATCTCCGCTTGAAACTGAAGAGAAACCAGCATCAGCTGACTTGAAAGACGGTAAGATCCCAGCAAATCCCGAAGACAAACCCAAGTCCCCTCTGGATTCAGTTAAGCCCAGTCGTACAGTGTATTCAGACGATGAAAGCGATGAGGAATATGGTGTTCCTAGACCCCAAGAAAAGCCCGCTAGTCAGCCAATTCCATCAGTTGTTCCATCTCTCGTTGCTTTAGAAAAATCTCCTCTTAAACCTGAAGAGAAATCAGCACCAGTTGTCTTGAAAGACGACAAGATCCCAGCTAAACCCGAAGACAAACCCAAGTCCCCTCTGGATTCAGTTAAGCCCAGTCCTGCGATGTATTCAGATGATGAAAGCGATGAAGAATTTGGTGATCGTAGACCCCAAGAAAAGCCACTACCTGCGTTTGTTTCTTCTGTAGTTTCTGGAGATAAATCTCCTCTTAAAGATATCCTTAAACTAGAAACGGTGACTGTGTCCAAGGCAGAAGAATTTGAAAGCTATACTAAAACAAATATTGCCACTGTGGTCTCGAAGACTTCCGATTTGATTACAAGTTCATTCACTGACGACAAACCTAAACTAACTGACTTGGAGGACGATAAGCCCATTGACTTGAAAGACGATAGGGTCCAAGCTAAGCACGAGGATAAACCCAAGTCCCCTCTTGACTCAGTTAAGTCTAGTCTCATAGTGTATTCAGACGATGAAAGTGACGAGGAATATGGTTTTCCTAGACCCCAAGAAAAGCCCGCTTGTCAGCCAGTTCCATCAGTTGTTCCATCTCTCGTTGCTTTAGATAAATCTCCTCTTAAACTTGAAGAGAAACCAGCACCAGTTGTCATAAAGGACGATAAGATCCCAGCTAAACCCGAAGACAAACCCAAGTCCCTTCTGGATTCAGTTAAGCCCAGTCCTACGATGTATTCAGATGATGAAAGCGATGAAGAATTTGGTGAACGTGTACCCCAAGAACAGCCACTCCCTTCGTTTGTTTCTTCTGTAGTTTCTGGAGATAAATCTCCTCCTAAAGACATCCTTGAAATAGTAACGGTGGCTGAGTCCAAGGCAGAAGAATTTGCAAGCTATACTAAAACAAATATTGCCACTGTGGTCTCGAAGACTTCCGATTTGATTACAAGTTCATTCGCTGACGACAAACCTAAACTAACTGACTTGGAGGACGATAAGCCCATTGACTTGAAAGACGATAGGGTCCAAGCTAAGCACGAGGATAAACCCAAGTCCCCTCTTGACTCAGTTAAGTCTAGTCTCATAGTGTATTCAGACGATGAAAGTGACGAGGAATATGGTTTTCCTAGACCCCAAGAAAAGCCCGCTTGTCAGCCAGTTCCATCAGTTGTTCCATCTCTCGTTGCTTTAGATAAATCTCCTCTTAAACCTGAAGAGAAACCAGTACCAGTTGTCTTAAAAGACGATAAGATCCCAGCTAAACCCGAAGACAAACCCAAGTCCCTTCTGGATTCAGTTAAGCCCAGTCCTACGATGTATTCAGATGATGAAAGCGATGAAGAATTTGGTGAACGTGTACCCCAAGAACAGCCACTCCCTTCGTTTGTTTCTTCTGTAGTTTCTGGAGATAAATCTCCTCTTAAAGACATCCTTGAAATAGTAACGGTGACTGAGTCCAAGGCAGAAGAATTTGCAAGCTATACTAAAACAAATATTGCCACTGTGGTCTCGAAGACTTCCGATTTGATTACAAGTTCATTCACTGACGACAAACCTAAGCTAACTGACTTGGAGGACGATAAGCCCATTGACTTGAAAGACGATAGGGTCCAAGCTAAGCACGAGGATAAACCCAAGTCCCCTCTTGACTCAGTTAAGTCTAGTCTCATAGTGTATTCAGACGATGAAAGTGACGAGGAATATGGTTTTCCTAGACCCCAAGAAAAGCCCGCTTGTCAGCCAATTCCATCAGTTGTTCCATCTCTCGTTGCTTTAGATAAATCTCCTCTTAAACCTGAAGAGAAACCAGCACCAGTTGTCATAAAGGACGATAAAATCCCAGCTAAACCCGAAGACAAACCCAAGTCCCTTCTGGATTCAGTTAAGCCCAGTCCTACGATGTATTCAGATGATGAAAGCGATGAAGAATTTGGCGAACGTGTACCCCAAGAACAGCCACTCCCTTCGTTTGTTTCTTCTGTAGTTTCTGGAGATAAATCTCCTCTTAAAGACATCCTTGAAATAGAAACGGTGACTGAGTTCAAGGCAGAAGAATTTGCAAGTTCTACTAAAACAAATATTGCCACTGTGGTCTCGAAGACTTCCGATTTGATTACAAGTTCATTCACTGACGACAACCCTAAACTAACTGACTTGGAGGACGATAAGCCCATAGACTTGAAAGATGATAGGGTCCAGGCTAAACACGAGGATAAACCCAAGTCCCCTCTTGACTCAGTTAAGTCTAATCTCATAGTTTATTCAGACGATGAAAGCGATAGACCTCAAAAAAATCCCGCTAGTCATCCAATTCCATTAGTTGTTCCATCTCCCGTTGCTTCAGATAAATCTCCTCTTAAACCTGATGAGAAACCAGTACCAGTTGTCTTGAAAGACGATAAGATCCCAGCTAAACCCGAAGACAAACCCAAGTCCCTTCTGGATTCAGTTAAGCCCAGTCCTACGATGTATTCAGATGATGAAAGCGATGAAGAATTTGGTGAACGTGTACCCCAAGAACAGCCACTCCCTTCGTTTGTTTCTTCTGTAGTTTCTGGAGATAAATCTCCTCTTAAAGATATCCTTAAACTAGAAACGGTGACTGTGTCCAAGGCAGAAGAATTTGCAAGCTATACTAAAACAAATATTGCCACTGTGGTCTCGAAGACTTCCGATTTGATTACAAGTTCATTCACTGACGACAAACCCAAACTAACTGACTTGGAGGAGGATAAGCCCATTGACTTGAAAGACGATAGGGTCCAAGCTAAGCACGAGGATAAACCTAAGTCCCCTCTTGACTCAGTTAAGTCTAGTCTCATAGTGTATTCAGACGATGAAAGTGACGAGGAATATGGTGTTCCTAGACCCCAAGAAAAGCCCGCTAGTCAGCCAATTCCATCAGTTGTTCCATCTCTCATTGCTGGAGATAAATCTCCGCTTAAAACTGAAGAGAAACCAGCATCAGCTGACTCGAAAGAAGATAAGATCCCAGCTAAAGCCGAAGACAAACCAACGTCCCCTCTGGATTCAGTTATGCCTAGTTCTACGGTATATTCAGACGATGAAAGCGATAAGGAATATGGTGTTCCTAGACCGCAAGAAAAGCCACTCCCGTCGGTTGTTCCTTCTGTTGGTGCTGGAGATAAATCTCCGCTTAAAACTGAAGAGAAAGCAAAACCAGTTGACTTGAAGAACGAAAAGGTCCCAGCTAAACCTGAGGATAAGCTTAAGTCCCCCCTTGCTTCAGTTAAGCCCAGTCCAGCCGTATCTTCAGACGATAAAAGCGATGAAGAATTTGGTGATCTTAGGCCCCAAGAAAAGCCACTCCCTTCGTTTGTTTCTTCTGTAGTTTCTGGAGATAAATCTCCTCTTAAAGACATCCTTAAACTAGAAACGGTGACTGTGTCCAAGGCAGAAGAATTTGCAAGCTATACTAAAACAAATATTGCCACTGTGGTCTCGAAGACTTCCGATTTGATTACAAGTTCATTCACTGACGACAAACCTAAACTAACAGACTTGGAGGACGATAAGCCCATTGACTTGAAAGACGATAGGGTCCAAGCTAAGCACGGTGATAAGCCCAAGTCCCCTCTTGGCTCAGTTAAGTCTAGTCTCATAGTGTATTCAGACGATGAAAGTGACGAGGAATATGGTTTTCCTAGACCCCAAGAAAAGCCCGCTTGTCAGCCAATTCCATCAGTTGTTCCATCTCTTGCTGCTGGAGATAATACTGCCCTTAAACTTAAAGTGAAGCCAACACTAGTTGTTTTAAAAGACGATAAGTTTCCAGCTAAACCCGAAGATAGACCCAAGTCTCCTCTGGATTTAGTGAAGCTCAGTCCTCCGATGTATTCAGACAATGAAAGTTTTGAGGAATATGGTGCACCCAAACATCAAGAAAAGCCCGCCAGTCAGCCAATTCCGTCGGCTGCTCCTTCTGTCGTTGCTGGAGATAAATCTCTGCATGCTGAAAAAAAACCAGATCCAGTTTACTTTAAAGACACAATCAAAACTCAGTCATTTTCGGTACCTGTTCGTTCTTTTGAAGGGTCACACGAATCTCCATTAAAAGCAGCGGAGACACCAAAACTTTCGAATGATGAGACCATGGTCACGTCGTACTCCGGCGAAAACAGATCCGTTCAGCAGATTGTGGAAGACACTTTGAGAGCAGGCGATGCTGAGGTACTAAAAATAGTAAACGAAACACTTAAGAGTGTTCAGGTCCACCGCCACTTGGGCCATGTGACGGAGCAGTTGGAATCAGAAGATGAGCGGTCGGTGGAGCAGATTGTAGAAGAAACATTGAATAGTGCGAAGATAGATTCTTTAGGGCCTAGGGATGAAAAGTTGTGCCCTAGTAACATTGAGGAGGCCGAACCCAAAGAAGTTCGTCCAATAGCATATTTTGTTAACTTAGATGATGAGAAAAAATCGCCACTGCCCGCCAAGAAACCAGCCGTCAAAACGCAGCAGAAAAGGGTAGCTAAGTCGGAAACGGCAAAAGGGAAAATAGTGAAAGATTCCAGTGCAAAATCAGCAGCAAGGAGTTCTCTGAGTAGGAGGACAGTGGGGGATAAAGAAAAACCAAAGTCCGATATGAAAACTCAGGCTTTAACATCCTCAACGCAGACCAAACAGAAGAAGCCAATTAGTAAGCAAACCGTGACGCGGAAGACGTCTGTCTCGGAAAAACCGAAAGCGCCAGCCAAATCCGAGCCGAGAAGGTCGGTGACGAGTTCCGTTTCGACCACAAGCTCAGCCTCTGCCACAAGCCGTGTGATTAGTGAGATACATTTCGAGCGGTCTGCCAGTCCCGCATCCAGTTCTATATTCTACGAGAGTCACCCGCAAGGCGAGGGCAGTCGCTCAACCACGCCGAGGCCTAGGGTGAAAACAGATGTCACACGAATACCCTACAATACCTCAATTCGATCGTTGAGCCCCTCGTCCAAGTCAACGAAGTCAGCTAGAGTTACAGCTGCCTCGTCAGTGAAACAGACAGCCACAAAACAATCTAAGACGACTACCAATCGATCTACCAAAGAGCTTACAGGAAGCACTGCTAAGAAGACCGACAGCAAAATCAGTCAAGAGCATGTGGAGACGAAGCGAATGATAACCCCGACACCCATTGCCACACACAGATATATGCAGCCCACTTTGTCTCACAATATCCGATATGGGTTGAGTGGCGATGCCGAGGGCCAGAGGGTCTCTCCGGCTCCGCCAAAGTCCCCAGCACCGCCGAAATCGCCGGCCCCGCCTCAGACCAAAAGTACGTACAGAACCCAGACAAGTATGACAAGTGCCTTGACAAAGTCCACATATTTGGAACGAAAACAGAAGAATTCTATCGTCGAGAAGGTGCAGCCCCAAGCGCATTCCCAAATCAAGAGAGGTTCTCAGAGCGACAGCAAGGAGTCGCTGAAGAACACCGGACGCCTATACAAGAGACAGACCTCCAAAGAAAACAAGCTAACAAACGTGATAGGTTCCCAGAGCCAAGCAACCAAAAGCATGAAGACACAATCAGCTAATTCAACCAAGACCATTGCCCACAGAACTTCCATAGAAACCGACAACAGGCATGCGGTGGCCAGCCTTCAGAAGAAGGCCCCCCCAGTCACTATACAGCGCAACAAAGTTCCGATTAGCGCGTCTTCCATGAAAAGGACTGCAGCAGCAAAGCTGCCTAGCAGAAGTGATGAAACCGTCAAGAAACCTCAGATAGACGTTAAGAAAACAGTCAGGCGTACGGTAGCCAGCAGCACGGCCGCCACCAGAACGGTGCAGAGCTCCATTGAGCCGAAGCTGCAGAAGAAGATGAAGGACAACATGAACGAATCAAGCTCGACCAGTGGCAGTACCAGTGCCAGCGGCTCTTCTAACAGCACCCGGCGCAGCGTGCGCTCGGTTACGGTCAGCCGGAAGACCGACAAAGAGATGGCCAACCTAAAGCTGTCGGAGAAGAAAAGAGAACCGTCGACATCGTCATCGACATCGACTTCGACTGTGCGCGTGCACAGGGAACCGACAGCGACAACCGCCGCTGTTAGCACCGTGCTTGTTGATGACGACTGTGAGGTGATAACCATACGTTCCATTAAATCAAGCGATAGTACAAAAAGTTCTACCTCATCATCCTCCGGTAGTGGCAGCAACAGTCGCAAGGTGCTAACCAGCGAGGTTTTCACTAAGACCTTCGGCCCCGACAGGCCCCTAGAGGTGGTCTATCGGCAGCCCGAGTTCGATGTAGATCACCACACCACCATGTCCGTGCGGCCGCCCTCCACAAACGAGCAGCAGCGGTGCATAAACGAGTTTGATGTTAGCTTTATCGATACCACCGATTCCAGTCTTTCCGACTCCGTTGCACTGCCTATGTTCGGCGCTGGCGAACCGGAGCGCCTGCTGGCCGCCAGTCCCGGCTCTCCCAAGCCGACCCGTAGTCCCCTGGCGCTCGTCGAGGAGACGTTGCGCCGCCAGCAGCAGCACCTACACCATCAGCAGCAGCATCCGCAGCCCCATCACCACAGTGCACTCGTGGCAGGGGCAGGGCCTGGGGCAGGACTAGGCGCCTCTGCCTTAGACCCTTCGCTGCAGCTGCATGTGGAGAGCGGCAGTATTGTGGTTGAGACTGAGGTGGAGAAGAGCAGCACATCCAAAGGTAAATATGGGAAGACACTTGATGATAGGCATAGAGCACTTTGAACTTTGATCTTAAGAATAGCTTAGCTACGATACCCATCACACTCAGGGCTTATATTCCGAATGCAACTTTTCTTATTGATATACTCGTACATACTATTTATGAAATGCTTTCACTTAATCTAACTTTAACTTGTTCTCCACAAATAGCAAACACAAAAACAAATAACTAAATAACCAACAAATCAAAGCCATAAAACACTATAAGCCCACCCAAAAAAAAATAAATAAAAATAAAAAAATAAATAAAAAAGAAAAAAACGAAAACCTACCCCTAAACGAAAACTTAAATCCAATAAAATGTCAAAGAAACTCCCAACTATATCCGTAACTGCCGATCATCACTCGTCGCACTCCGATGCATCATCATCATCGTCATCCCGTGACTCAGACAGCAATGACATGGACTACGGCCGGAATGGCGCAGGCGGCGTAACCGATGTCGAGGATTTCGACAGTCAGGCAGAGGTCCTAAAGCCCAGCTCCCGACGTGGTTCCGCAAATGCCCTAAACCCCAAGCCAAAACAGCAAAAGGCCAACCCATTCGACAACGATGTGACCGATGTGGAGGACTATGACACCGAGTCGGAGGACGAAGAGAAGAGCGTCGCCTACCCAGAGCTAAAACTTTCGCTGAGGGAGTTCTTACAGCAAGGCCTACAGAACCAGGAAGCCCTCGACCAGGATGGCAAGGAGAGATGCGAAATAAAAGACGGGGACTTCGTGCAAGCACAAAACCTCAATGGCCTGGCCGACTATCTGACCGACTGTGAAGACTACGACACCGACTCCGAGGTGGACTACGGCTGCGAGAAGTCCGTTTGTGTGGATCTGGACAACGCCGTGGGCGATTTGGGACGCGTTAACATAGCCGATGGCGAAAAGAACCAGGATGACTCCGATGAGTACGAGGATGTGTCCGTGATCAGCGACATTAGTGACTTGGCCTCGGCCATGTCCGACTGCACCGGCATCGGTGTTCGCGGCATGTCCGAGGACGAGGTGCTTGAGGTCTCTGACAGCGGCAACGAGGAAGTCTGCCAGATCGCCTGCTCGGGCAGTGAGTCGGACTCGGAGCAAGGGGCAGCCGGAGGTCAGAGTGTAAGTGAAAGCAGCTATCCCATCGATGTGGCCTTCTTCAGCGTCAGTGGACAGCCGCGTCGCAACTCCAAGTCCACGTTGCCCATGCCTGGGCAGAAGCAATTTCTGCAACTGGCGACTAGGAACGAAGAGGTGCTCACCGACGTTGAGGGCATCGATGACTCGGCGGCGGAGGACAGTTTTGACAATGAGGAGGGCGACGAGCAGCCCATACCACGTGCCGTCATCCTAGCTTCTGGCGATGATGGCACCTGTCTCACGGACATCGAGGACATGTGGTGCGAGGACACTTCACTGGCCAGCACAGTGCCTGAAGTTATTACAGTCTCGCCCGAGGCTTTGCCGTTGCCGCATCGTGAGGTCGTGGAGCTGAAGGAGGACAAGAACGGAGACACGATCACAAATGTCATGCCCATGGACAGCAACTACGAGTTTGGCATCTACAACCACCAGAAAGATACCGTCCACACCGACTCCGAGGACTACTCGTGCGCCGAAGATTGGAGTCTGAGTCACTCAGTCGCTGAAGAGGCTGCTGTGGGTGGGCCAGGTCTGATCGAAAATGAGGTCATCGTTTCTAATGAGCTGATGAAGCAGCAGCAGAACAAACGCCTGGAGGTCCACTCTAACGCCGAGTCCGTGACCGATGTGGAGGAGATATTTGTTCCCGGTACGAACCGTCGTAAGAAGTTGAAAACACGCACCCTGAGCAAAGGCAAGAACAAACTGCTGGATGTGGCCAAGACCAAGGAGGAGGGCATCACCGATGTCGAGGACATGGACCTGAGTGAGTGCGGTCTGCCCCCTGGAGTGAGGCGCGTAGACCAACTGAAGCACCAGGCCAAGGGTTCGAAAAACTCCGATGCCGAGGACATATCCACCGACGATGTATCTGATATTTCTGATGGTTCCGATCCACCACCGCACCCACCGACAACTGAGAGGGCGTGCAACAAGAGCAAGCTCCAGCCGCTCCACTTGCGGCTGCTCAAGGAGGATGTGGTGAGCCAGCAGAACACCGACACCGAGGACGTTCAGCTGCCTTCGGATGCCGAGGATGCCCTTGAGGATCCTCCAGTCATCCTCGTGGCGAACAGCGATAGCAAGGAGCTGAACGACATGCTGAATGAGAGCTACACCGTGGTGCACGAGAAGAGTGGCCGCAGGTTCAACAGCGAGTCCGAGAAGCTGCACATAAAAGGCATGATTCGTGATGCCCATACCGACGTTGAGTATGTTGAGTCCGACGAGTCAGCCGCTAGAGGAGGCAACTAGTGTCTTCTCCGTGCCCTGGTCTGCTCCGAAACGATTCGGTCCCAGCTGTTGCTAAAAAGCATCTCAACAATAGTTCATAAGTGTTCATTGATACGAAAGTCCTACTGACAAACCCAACACATACACTCAAGCATTTTGTAAGTAAAGCCAAAAAATACCAAGCATTTTCGTTAAAAACTTATAGCCACACTCAAAGCAGCAAAAAGCCTAATCCCAACTCGCATTGCCACCATCCTTCGCCCCCAATCTCTGTGCCCCGTGTCATACTAACTGTTACTGTTACTAACAACTACTAATCAACGTTCAACTAACATTTACACTGTTTTTCCTAGTGCTAACAGAAACGTTCTTTGGAATCCGTTTTTTGTTTATGAACTTGCCTTATCAGTTGTGTGTAAATCATTCCATTATCATTTCGTTTGTAGCGTAAATTAATGTAGCCCTTAGGTCACTTTTGTGTTTCCTGCCTCACAGCTCGTTGAATGTATCTAATCGTTGTCCTGTCTGTTCCAGAAACCCTTCAGGAGAAATTAATCGACACATCCATTCTGGATACCGAAACGAGCTCACAGCAAATCGGTAAGTCCTCCCAAACTATTTCATGTATAGTATATATGTCGAATATACTCGTATTTGTGTTGTTTGCAAACATTCCATAACGCTTCATTAAGTTATTAAATCTTATTAGTTTACAAAATGCAATTAAAGCTCATTGAGACAACCAATTGACCAGCCACGACTCAGTGCTAAAGATCTCACTTCACCAACCAAATCACCGCCATCTCGTATCTCCATCTGCTATCACACCACGCTAACCTTAAAACGGCACTAACCATCGTATCGTATCCACTCGCTTCTCATGCGCTTCATGATTTCCCAGCTTGCTTTTCCGATCTCATTCGATCTGTATCTCTATCTCTATCTGTCCAATCTATCTACCTATCTACCAATGAATCTGTGCAATTGTCTTGCAGGTGATGTTAAAGTTGGTGGTGGTGGAGGTGCAGGTGGAGGTGATAATGATGATGATGGTGCAGATCTTGTGGCACGCATTCGCGAGGAAGCTACTATCCTGGTGGATAGCGTGCTCGAAGAAAGCGTTGAGATCATTGAGAGTCACGGCATTGGCCACCAGCACCAGGCCAATGGCCACGAGTTCGTTAAGCAGGAATACAACTCGGAGAGTGACAACTATGCCATCACATGCGACGACATTGACGGCGTTGATGTCATCAAATCGCCCACAATCGAGTCCATGTCGGGCAAGTCATTCGATGATAACATGAGCTTCACCGACGAGCACATACATTTACCCTTGCATGTCCAAAACATAACCGCCACGACCACGACCACAGTAACCACTCAATACCAACAGCAACAAGCGCAGCCTCAGTCGCACTCCCAAGCTGCTGCCACAACTTCATCAACGGCAAAAGGTAAAATACATACTATCCCGTCTAGAGTCTTAGAGCTTTGCGCTAGTCATACGATAGAATACTAGAAGATAGGCTCGTTTCTGGCACTAGGCGAAATATAACCCATTGTGTTGCTTAGTCCGTTGGCTATAACCGTTCTCCCGTATTGTTTGCTCCCATTCCCGTTGCCATGTGTCATGTCACCATCCACTACCCGAACCAATGCCAGTTACAGAACCAGAACCAGTACCAGTACCTGTAGTGTCTAGTCAAGATCGAATTGAAGACGAATCGGAGACGCGCACGAGACGCATCGAGCGAAAGATCGAGAAGCTATCCACTGACATGGACGATGTGAGTGCGAAGTTCGACGAGGCCTTCGAGTCGGCTGTGCACGAGGATGAGATCAGTGCCCTGCAGGGCGACTTTTCCAAGCTCAGCTGGGACGACAGCGTGTCGCCCACGACCAACACAATGGCCGACATGGCCCACAACCAGATAACACCCGACAATGACATTCAAGAGCTGACCGCAGGTATCATAAGCAAATGCGAATAACCTATGCTTTCATATTGTATAGTATTTTGTATAGTACTCGTATTGCCATTGCTGACTCGTACAGAGCATAGAGACATACCTATGTATGTACCCCTTATGTGTTCGTATGAAGTGGTGTCCAAGTGGCGGCCAATAATGACTTTTTGTTCAAGTTGAGCTCTAATTGCATTTATCCTATTCAGTTGTTGTTTTAGTTTATACTCATGTTAACTCATGGAAATATGCATGTCGAACCTATCATCCTCTCTCTCTCTTTACCCCCATCTCTATAAACATATCTATCTATCTATCAATCTATCTACTCGTATCTTATGCTAACCAATCAACATATACATATTTATCGTACTCCTCGAATGCATTTACCTCTGTTAATCACCCTGTTCTGTTTCCTGTTTCCTATTTCTATCCTCTATAATCGTATGATTGTGTTTACTCTTTCTCATCTTTTGTTCTCGACTTTCACAACACTTTTAAAACTGCTTTTGTTTTCACACCTATTGTTTTGTAGAAGCAGGCGGCGATTTACCAATCTCAAGTGAAACCACTCCCGTACCACCGTCGGCTGTCGTGGCAGCCACAGTCGCCACAGACAAAGAAACAGCTGATGAGCCGGCGGTAGAATCCAGTTTATTTACTGCCACCAGCCACGACACACCCACACCAAAGCCACGAGTTCTTAAAGCCAGCTCCCCCGTCTCCGAAGGCACTGGCACCGATAGCACCACCACCACTATTCCCAGCCAAGTGCAGAAATCCGACATACCGATCGATATAAGTTTTGATGCCGCTGCACCAATTCCGAAACCCCGTGCCCCCATCAAGCACACGGAACCGTTTGAGAATCTGGCCGCCCTGGCCGAACAGTCCGATAGCATTAGCCTACGCAGCTTCGAGTTTACGGAGGACCTGTCCAAGACGGACGAGCCCTCCACGGAGCTGTCGATCCGATCCCAGCTGCGTGATGTGGTCACAACCACAACTGCTACCACCACTGCCTCAGAGGATCACACGGAGAGCTTCGAGCCGACCAGCGAGATATCAGTGGATGATGCTGACACTGAGAAGTCAGAGGCTGCCGAGAAGACCACCAGCTTTTATATAGGCGAATCAAGTCGCAATGTCATCACCAAGACCACAACGAAGTCAGCGGGTGCAACACCCCAGGACGAAGAGGCCGCTACGGATATAGGCATTGACGCCAAGGACATTTCGCTGATGAAGGAGGTTTCCGTAGACTCGGACGAGGCCAACGATATTTTTAAGGAGTACGTGACGATGAAGCGTGATGATGCTGAGGCCGTGGATAGCAAGATAGTCAGACAGGGCTCCGAGACTAGAAACGATATTTTGGAGTTTGAGAATGCCGACAAGGAGAAGGCTGGCGAGCCAATTCTCACCAAGGTGACAACGGAGGAGAGCCTAACCACGTCCACCGGCTCCAGTGGTCGGGCTATCATAGAGGTAGCGCCTTCAAGCAGCGAAGACCCCGATGAGTCCGGCAAGGAAATTCCCGAAATAGTGAATACAATATCCTCCACAGACCGATTTGAACTGCCGCTGGAGAAGAGTGAGTGGGAGACATCGGAGAAGGAAATCCCCAATGCGGGCAAACCGAAGGTGGTGCACTCGCCACAGCAACCACAAGCTACCGCCGGAAAAGATATCGTTGATGAATCACCGGCCAGTGGAGCCATTCGCGAAACACAGGACTCTTCTGATTTGGTGAAGGGTGATTTAAAAAGCGACGTAAAATCGATGCAAGAATCCCCAGCCGGTTTCGAATTCGATACAATGACGCACTCCTTTACCACCGGTGCTGAGAGCGAAGATATTTCGTCTTTTATCGGGATACCAGACATGCAAACGTCAACATTGGACAACACCCAGCCCCCCGAGGGTCTATTCGATACCACAATCAGGGAGACCCTGAACAAGCAGGCGGCAATGGCGCACTATGCTCAAGACGTGTTCGGCCGAGTGGAGAGGCGTGATGATCATGGATCACTGGGATTCGTGTCCACCGGCACCGCCGAAGAACTAAGCTCGATGGAGGAGCATATGGCGAAAGAGGAGCAAGCCTCTCTTGGGTTTATATCTACGGAGACAGCAGAAGACTTCAGCTCCATGGAGGACTACTACACGGAAAAGTTAACCACTGCCAGCTTGGTTGCGGAGGAGATTGCTGCCGACAAGTCCATCACCACCAGCACCTTTGAGGAGATGACATCGGACCAGTCTATCAGGCCGGTCGATGTGGTGGTTCATCGGCTGAAGACCGAGTTATCGCCGGACTCCACCAACCGCTGGTCCATACCCGACGTAGACAATTCTAGCTCCAGTGAGAGCTACCAAAAGAGCTTCGACAAAACCCAGAGCCGACCTCTATCCTCTGACATGGACATCCTACTGACCGCCACTGGCACCGGAACCTCCAGCGAATACCAGACTGCTCGCGATTCCACCTGTCGCGAGGCAACCGAGTACGTGAGCGCAGTCAGCACTCTGAACAGCAGCAGTGGTCAGACCATTAGCTCCCACGAGAGCATGCGCAGCTTCGACTCGCAGTCGGAGACTTCAGCCAATCTGGCGAGTATCGATGTGTCTGAGTTGTCGGAGACATTGGTGGCCTCCTCAGCCGAGGCAGATCCCTTTGAGTCGGAGGAAATGTCTCGCCTGCGTGACCTGCGGGCCGATGATGATGACAGCGATGAGAGCGTAGAACTGCCAGGGTCCTCGTATCCGACTAACGAGCAGCAGAGCTTGATGAAGCGATCCCAGGAGATGATTTTCAAGCCCAAGACAGAGGCGGATGAACAGCCGGTCGAGGCAATTCAAATCGAAGAATATCCCAAGCCCAAAGACGCCGAACGCACCTGGGGACTAGCCTATCCAATGGAGGACAGCAAGGCCGATAGTCCGCGGGAGAGCGAGAGGGCCGAGGACATATTGCTGTATCACGGCGACCCCAGGCGATCTATCGACGAATCCAAGCTGGCATCAAGCCTGGACGAAGGCAGCATTCTCTCGGTCAGCATTTCCAGTACGTCTAACATTGACACCGTTGTTGAGAACTTTGATGACATTATCGGATCGGCAGGCTCGTCGTCACTCACTGGCATCGAGGGCTTCCAGTATGGGCACGATGAACCAATGCCCTCTGCCTTCGTGCCGGAGGATGCCACATTCATGCTGGAGATGGAAAGCAAGGAGCATTCTCCGCAGGACTCGAATGCCAGTACGCCACCCGGCGGAGAGTCAAAGAGACGCGGCCACAAGCGCAACGAGAGCATCTCCGGGGATGCCCTGAAGAACCTGGACAAGGAAGTTGCCTTGCTGGGCGAGGGCAAGGAGTCGGAGAGTGAGTCGGATACAGATCCGTACGAGTCGGAGTATGCGCGCCAATTCCGCTCGCCCAAGGAGCGGAAGAGCAAGAAAAAGAAGCAGGCAGCTGCTGAGATGGACCACAGTGCGGAGCTGGAGAAGCGTCCGTTTACCCCGTCCCAACTGGTGGCAGAGATAATAGTGGAGGACGCGACCGAGGAGTTGGAGGCCGAGGCCGCCATGATTGAGGAGCGTCGTCCCTCACAGAATATGCAGGACTACTCTAAAATACCCGACATCATGGTAACGGAGGAGTTAAAGTCTCCAATTTTAGAAGAGGAGACCGACGACTTCCCCGAGAAGTCCCTGTACAAAGTTCGCACCGAGGAGGAGCTTCATAAGGCAAGCGATACCTCTATGTACGAGAAGGCCAAGGCCGAAGAGAAGGAGCAGGACTTCCAGAGGCGAGTACAGGAACAGTACAGACAGAAACTGGAGGAGCTAAAGCGTGCCGAAGTCGGTGCGGAGTACGATGATCGCAAAGCCCCCGATTCGCCAGACTCCTTTGAAATGGTCGAGCAGCCGGACATATCGGACGAGTTCGTCATCATTGAGGAGGTGGCCAAGGAGGCCAACGAAGTGGATCTCGGCGGCAAGAGCATCAAGATAGCCCCTATCAAGTACGAGCAGAAACACGACTCTGACGTTGAAAAGATCATCATCAAGTCGGCCCCCGCCGACCCCAAGCTGGGATCTCAGCTGTACAAGGATGATCTCAACTTTGAGTTCGAGGAGAGCCCGCCCACGGGCGCCAGCAGCAGCAGCGATCAACAGGAGGAGAGCGATTCTAGCGACACGGCGGCAGCCAACAAGCGGTGGGTGGAGATGCAGTTGACGGACAACCAGCTGCGATATCCCTACGACCTCACTGGCGCCGTGTTGGAGGACATCAAGGAGGAGGATGGGGAGTTCGAGGTCGGCAGTAGTCGCATCAGCAGCTTTAAGGACTCGTTCTCGAGCACACCCGAATACGATGTGATGGCCGCGCGACGGTACCACTCCCGCGGCGAGCACGACGATGTGTCCATGAGCAGTCTGCAGGAGTTCGAGTCCCTGGAGCAGGCCATTTCGTTGGAGAACCGTAACCGAACCCACCAGGGCTCCACGGACTCGAGCAACGGCAGCTTCACACGTCGCTACGTGGTCCGACACAGCGGAAGTGGAACTGCGCCCGGCGACGATGTGTCTATATCCAGTCTAAAGGAGTTCGAGGGCCTGGAGAATGCCTGCATTGAAGCCCATCTCATTGAGATCAAGGCCAGGGAAGAGGCTGCACTACTCTCACGATCCGATGAGTCGAACAAATCGAATGGAAGCGACAAAGGAGCCGCTGGCAATGTTGTGGTAACCAAGGTGACCCGCACAGTTACCCGCACCGAAGTGGTGCCCTCCGGCCAAGCGGAAAACATTGAAGCCCTGCTAAAGCAGAAGCTGGAGCTGGAGGAGGGTGACACTAAGCAGGGATCCGCGTCGGTGAAGATGGCCGACCTAACCGGCACTGAGTTTGAGAACAAGTCTAAGATCGATAGTCAGGACTCCGAAAAGGACAGCATCGATAGTATGGAGATCAGCAAGAGTCACGACATGATGACCAGCAGCATTGAAAGCTTCGATATCTCAAAGGACGCCACCACGCGATCCGACATTGATTCCCTGGAGATTGATAAGCGCCACTCGCGCCAGGAGAGCATCGAGTCGTTCGGTGACGAGCAGCTCGACCTCATGACCAAGTTTGTCAGCGGCGGAGGAGTCACACTGGGAGATGGTCTGACGACCACCACCACAACTACCACTACTAGCACCGATGCTGATGGGCATGAACACACCGTAACGCGGGTGATAACGACCACAACGACTGTAGGCGGCGGTGTTCAGGAACTGCCTCTGGATGAGAGCGGCATGTCGAAGGACGTGTCCATCGACTCCCTCAATCTCTGCGTGGAGCTGACGACCAGCTCTGCTGGTACCACGGCGACGTATCAGACAAGCGCAGGCAACTCGCAAATGTCTGGAAGCATCACGAGCTGTGCCTCCAGTACGCTAATGGAGGACTCGTTCCCTGGTGTGGGTGCCATGTCGTCGTCGCAAATGTCTGCTAGTTTCTGGTCGCACGACGAGTCCACGGTGGTCGAGGATGAGGGCGACCAAGTGAAGAAGCAGCAACAAGGCCAGTAAGGCCAGTGGCGCAGGATGGGAGAGAGAGAATACTCGTACATACCTAGACGTATATGAAAATGGGGCTTGAACAGAGACATAGAATATTTGGCTAGGTAAGCATCCCGAGGCCAGGCTTCGCGGCTTTATGTTCTTTGATTTCCTTTTGATTTTTTCCTTTACTTGGTCTTCGATATAGAAGCAGAGCTCAACTATGAAAGAGAAAAGTAATACTCGCCGCCCCATACCAGCATTCCATATATTAAACTTCGTTTTTCTCCTTCTGATCTTACAGACAAGGCGCACGTCTAGAGGAAACACCGATGAATTACTCTCTGGAAGGGCAGCAGTAGCATCTTCACCAGCTCTGAACTTCACCGATTTCAAATCACAGACTTAAGACCGAAAATCGAAAAGCAGAATAAATAATTAGACAATTTGACATTTTCCATCTATACACACATTTTTAATGATATTGAACTGCATACCCGAGTTTTTAAATGCAAATATATATATTTTATATATTTATAAAAACTATAAAATCGCGAACATGAATATGAATATGTCAGGCACTAGCTGTTTAACGCATTTTCTTATTGGCTTTAATATTTAAAAATTAAATAAAAGCGAATGCTTTGTGCTACAGCGTCGTAATGGAATACACCTTTGCTTTTAATTTGATGTAGTTATTACGAGTATCTATGTATATGAACGAAGGATATTATTAAATGAATCGCTTATTATTGTAGTTTAATTTAAGCAATTATACAAGCGCATGTGTAAACGGGGACGTAATCAAATAGTAGTCAAAACCTGGAAAGTGAAATGCTTTTAAAGTCTCATTTTTTTACAAGAACCAAGCAAATTTTGACGCTTGCATATTTTAACATTGACATATACCTAAATATACAATTCGAGAAACCATACATAGATCAAATTTAAATCACATGTACGAACAATATATGGAGATTATTCACTTGAAGCTACCACTTAAAACAGCCCACGACGTGTATCGCTAATTTTCGTAATGCACATCTTGCGTGTATTCGTCAAAATACCTACTTATTGAAAGGATTTAAACGTTTTGGCATCACCACTGTAATGGGATATAAATAAAATAATATTTGTGTTAAAAACATACGAGAAATATTAAAAAAAGAACATTATTGTATTGTAAACCACACGCGAATGAATAACCAAATAAAATGCTTAATAAAAATTGCTGTTGGCTGTTATAAAATATCATGGGAAAGTATCTCGATCGGGAATATTCACCAAATCATGAGAGGCGTTGCCCACCAAGAAGGAGCGGAGCTATAGCGGTTAAACGTTATTGTCCTTGATGCCATTTTCAGGCTGAGCGTTCATAGCCACTTCATCATTGCCCTAAATAGTGAAGAAAACTTTATAACTGGGACAAATTTATCCTTGATCCTTCATTGGGACTCCATAAAATGTTTGATGGATAATGCATAATGTTCTTGCCGGCTACGTAGCTGACGGCGAATATGGCATCGAATATATAGGAGCGCCCACTCTCGTCTAGGTGGAAGAAGAGCATGTTCTTGGCAATGGCTGAGGAGAGGAAATTCATTGTCTTGTAGTGCCTCGGCATCACATTCAAATAGTTGCTGGCATCCTCCTTGCTGACAGGCTTCGCGGGGATGCCGCCGAGCCTGGGCAGCTGTTTTTGACATTGGTGACTTGTGTAGTGTCATTCAGTCTGACTTGTTCCTGCAAAAGCAGACGCACACTCGAAAAAAAGAGATATCTTGAGGATCACGGCATATCGCCCTCATTATCTAACGGTTTTATAAGGATTTTATCTTCAATATACATACATATGTGAATCGGAATAATCATTTTTTATACCCGATACTAAAAAATGAGTATGTATATTAGATTTGTGGTGAAAGTGGATGTGTGTAACACCTAGAAGGAACCGTTTCCGATCTCATAATGTACACATATTCTTGATCAGCATCAATAGCCGAGTCGTTTGAGCCATGTCTGTCTGTCCGTCCCTATTAGCGCCTAGTGCTCAAAGACTAAAAGAACTAGAGCAACGACATTTTATACCCGGACTTCTGTGATATGTCACTGTTACAAGTATATTTCAAAACTTTGCACCGCCCACTTCCGCCCCCACAAAGGGCGAAAAACTGTGGCATCCACGATTTCAAAGATACTAAAAAACCAAAAACGCAGAATTGTAGAAGATGACTTTATCTTCTAGAGTGCATAATCTGAACCAGATCGTGTAATTATTATGTCCAGAATCAAGAAAACAATTTCATTCTCTCTCGCTCTGTCTCTCTCTAACACACAGTTTTCATGGTCGGCTTTGCCTATTGCAAAATTTGAGTTCAAGGGTCTCAGAGACCATAAGAGCTATAGCAACCAAATGTCCACACTCCTGTGATATCGGACCTTGACTAGTTAGCTTCAAAATTTCGACACACCCCCTTGCGCCCCCGCAAAGGACGAAAATCTGGGGCATCCACAAATCTCAGAGACTATTAAAGCTAGAGTAACCAAATTTGGTATCCACATTTGGTTAGATCTCGCTATTAAACGTATATTTCAAAATTTCGTTAGCCCTCTTTTTTTTATTAAATTTTTTGAGTTTTATTTTAAGCGAAAACAATACAAATAAAAAATAATAATAAAACAATAAGAATCCAAAATAATGATAACTCATTAAAAATAAAAAATAATCATTATTCAATAAAAATGAAAAATAATAATTATATCATAAATGTTTTGATCCAAAAATAATAATTATTCAATAATAATATACCCAATACTCAAAATGAGTGGTGAAAATGGATGTGTGTAACGTCCAGAAGGATGCGTTTCCGACCCCATTAAGGATATACATATATTCTTGATCAGCATAAATAGCTGAGTCAATAGAGCCATGTCTGCCTGTCCGTCTCTTCGTTCGTCCCGATGAGTGCCTAGATTTCAAAGATCAGAGCTGGAACAACCAAATTTTTTATCCAAGCTCCTATGATATCACACTGCTACAAGTATATTTGAAAATTTCCCTCGTCCCGTTCGTAAAAAATCACAATTTTGAAGATACCAAAAAGCTAAAAACTCCGAACTATAGAGAATCACTATTTCTACCAGATTGCTTAGTGTAGATAAGATCCGATTATTATAGCCAGAAGAAACAAATGAAACTTCAGTGGCCATTTACCAAACAGTAGATAGATGTGCCAGTTCATACATAAACATGTCGCAAACGAACTTTCTGGATCAGGTCTTTCTTTCAGGTCTTCGGCTCTGGCGTTCGTCTACCACCGCGTCATTATGATCCAGCCAGCCCAGCAACGCATGGCTTGAGATAGTATTTTACTCTATGTACATACATATATAGTAAAGTATAGTTATAGAAATTTGTGTTTTGTTTTTGTTGCTTTTTTCTTGAGGGTCATTGAGGGTTACTTTACTGGTATCATAGGTTATAGGTTTTACGGTTACTGGCATTTTTGGAAAATTGAATATTTTGTTCGGAGTTCGGACGCTTGCCCCACAATATCAAGGCAATTGTTATTATGTACATATATGCTTTAGATGCTAATTGTGTTCAATATAGAATAAAAAATATAATGAGCGGATATATTTAATATATATCATACATGACTACACAGTGTAATAATTGTCCATTAGGGTGCGTACGTTCATCGTACGTGCTTCGCAGGTGCAAACATTGCCGACGTCGTCTTCCTTCCTGCACCATGCTTTACCTCATCGGCTTCTACCGGGTAAATTTTCCTTGTTTCCCCCTATTCATCTTTTCCAATTCATCGCAAAGTCCCCGCTGGCTCATGCACACGGGGCCACGATGACGTGAGCCGCTCGGGATATGATTCCTGTCGCGCGAGGCTGTGCCTTTTGGCCTTTGGGTCCGGCCACTTCCATGGCGCTTTTCCTTGCGTCTCAGCCTTTCCTGCCCGCTCGCCGTCTGTACCTCCTCTGCGGGTGATTCCGACGTACCTCCTCGTTCTCTCGGGAGCTCCAAGGGATGTGATCCTGACTGAACTGTGGCAGCCACTGGCCGTTCTGCTGCGGGCCATAGCCATGATGTCGCTACTGTGTCGCTGAGTCGACAATGTGGCCTCCCGTCCGCTGCAGGGACATTATGTCAGCAATCCCATCCTTCATACGCCGCCGAATAAAACGCTCAGCTTCGACACGCGTAAGTGAATCAGTATGTAATTGTGTATTTATTTTAAAATATATCTTTCTTCACAGAGAACTTATGTACCACAGACCGAGTCGTATCCAATTTCCTCACGCCAGATGGAGTCTTATCTAGGAATTACCAATGCTAATTCGAGAGAGACTGAGTCCTACCCCAGCCAGCTAGAATCGAATCCCATCAGGACATTGCACCCTTTACAAGATCCGAACCCAGCAAACCATCGTCATTCTTCCACCGGGTCATCGACAGCATGGACTTTGACCATGGCAACGAAGGGAGGGGCTACGCGGGCTACTAGATTCTATATAGAACTCATTGTTTTTAGGTTAAAGGATAAACGCGTCCACATATTTAGATAGTAGATACAAATGTTTTCCACTTGTTTATTTATTTGTACTATCTATGTTATGATGAATAAAACTATTGAAAAACAATGCTTGTTGTATCCTGTAACGGGGAGTGGGAGTCCTTACCGAAGGATCAAGATCACGGGGGAGGGGGCATGGCACACCCCGATTGGGCCAAAAATAAGGGAGAAAACCAGATATATATGACTGGAGAAAATATCCTTTATCCTTGTTCCTTTATAAGGACTGCATTAGATCAAGGATGTTATTTCGAACACAGAAAGCCTTCGCAAGACTAGATCGGGCTGCAAGTAACGAAGAAAACACTAAAGTTGGTGTTGTCAATTGTTGTACAACAACAACTCTCAACGACCAAAGAAAATATGAAAAACGTAAAAATAAAATTAAAACGAATTTAAAAAAAACCAGCGACCTTCTGCTATTTCTGTTTGCCTGGTATCGCAGATTTGAAATTAACGTTTTTCTCCATTTGAGCGGCCAAAGAAAATATGAAAAACGTAGAAATAAAATTAATAGGCGCCCCTATCGATGATTTACTCTATTCTGCTTTTTGTGGCCCGATCGGGACATGCGGCTTCCTTATAAAGGACCAAGGATAAAGGATATTTTCTCCAGTCATATATATCTGGTTTTCTCCCTTATAAAAATGGCCCAATCGGGGTGTGCCATGCCCCCTCCCCCGTGATCTTGATCCTTCGGTAAGGACTCCAACAACCCCTACATTATATATTTTGTTTTCTCGGCTATTTGTGGGCCGATCTGGACATGCGATCGAAAACATTTCCCTGATTTTATGGAGTCCTTATAAAGGATCAAAAAGATTTTACCCAATCAAAATCATTTAGTTTTCTCTGCTATTTGTGAACCGATCTAGGCGTGCCACGTCTTTTTTTAGTCGTAATAGTTTCCCCATTACAGGATACAACAAGCATTGTTTTTCAATAGTTTTATTCATCATAGCATAGATAGTACAAATAAATAAACAAGTGGAAAACATTTGTATCTACTATCTAAATATGTGGACGTGTTTATCCTTTAACCTAAAAACAATGAGTTCTATATAGAATCTAGTAGCCCGCGTAGCCCCTCCCTTCGTGGCCATAGTCAAAGTCCATGCTGCCGGTGGAAGAATGACGATGGTTTGCTGGGTTCGGATCTTGTAAAGGGTACAATGTCCTGATGGGATTCGATTCTAGCTGGCTGGGGTAGGACTCAGTCTCTCTCGAATTAGCCTTGGTAATTCTTGGATAAGACTCCATCTGGCGTGAGGAAATTGGATACGACTCGGTCTGTGGTACATAAGTTCTCTGTGAAGAAAGATATATTTTAAAATAAATACACAATTACATACTGATTCACTTACGCGTGTCGAAGCTGAGCGTTTTATTCGGCGGCGTATGAAGGATGGGATTGCTGACATAATGTCCCTGCAGCGGACGGGACGCCACATTGTCGACTCAGCGACACAGTAGCGACATCATGGCTATGGCCCGCAGCAGAACGGCCAGTGGCTGCCACAGTTCAGTCAGGATCACATCCCTTGGAGCTCCCCCGAGAACGAGGAGGTACGTCGGCAGGAAAAGCGGAGACGCAAGGAAAAGCGCCATGGAAGTGGCCGGACCCAAAGGCCAAAAGGCACAGCCTTGCGCGACAGGAATCATATCCCGAGGGGCTCACGGCATCGTGGCCCCGTGTGTATGAGCCAGCGGGGAGTTTGCGATGTCAGCTGGTCAGGCGCCTGAGTGGACAGCCATCAGCGCACACACCCCTGTATCAACTGGAAGAAGAGAAGGGTGAAGCCCCCGGTAAGCAATGGTGGGCATATCGGTGTCCGCGGGCACGCAAGAGGTATTACTGGACACCGAAGGGGCGACCCGCTTAAACGAAAGGAAGAGTTAAATAAAGTAAACTAACTAATAATAACTTAATAACTTTACCTGGCGGAGTAAGAGGCGGGGATTGCGGCATAGCAGTTTGTGGAGAGAGACGGTCTCGCCCAGAGAGAATAAAAAATGGGAGAAGAACAAAGAAAAAATAGTCAATGGAAAAGATGAATAGGGGGAAACAAGGAAAACTTACCCGGTAGAAGCCGATAAGGTAAAGCGCATGGTGCAGGAGGGCAGACGGTAATGTATGCATCTGCGAATCTCGTACGTCATACGTCGTAAAAAGTTGCTGTTGCGATACACGCTATCGTTGGGGCAGTATCGACTTGATCGCGAAAGCCACCATCGCGTCATTATGAACGATTAGTTGACAGCAGCAGAGCAACTCCAATTTTACTGAAGTTGGTTTTTGCCGAAATGCCGTAAATTGGAAGAGCGTATTTCCATATGGCGCTGAGGAATCCTCAGGTTTCGCGGCCAGGTTTGTTAACAAATTCAGCGATTTGTCTCTACTACTGCATAAAAGACACCCGAAACCGTATAAAATTCTCCTCCGTCTTTTCTCTTTACTTAACAAAAATAATTATTGCGATAGCTTTCACCAGCTCGGCGCTCAAATTCGTCAGGTTTCACCATTTGCTTTCAATGGGCTTAACTTTTTAAAAAAAATTTATAACAAAACACAAATTTGTGAAAAATTAAAAAAAATTAATGTCTTGGGAAAAAAGGATATTATGAAATGGATGAAATCCTTGTTACAAAATAGCCTATTTTCACACATATATGATATTCTTTTATCGGAAATGGGTAATAAATAAGCAGGAAAAATATGATTGTGGGTTGAGACCTTATTTTTTAACAATCCAATAAAAAGTAGTCCTTAAAATTAGCCAATCTTGTAGAAGATTGATTTTTCATACGAATAAAGTTATATGTTCAGCCGAATATATGTACACATCGGGGATTACGATTTCCGATCTTGAACAGAGATTAGTTAGTCTATTGTCGACCATAGGGTACTTGAATACATACAAGAATATTATGAAACTTGAAGAATTTTAGATCAGTTTAGGTGGTAGTTTTTCTCTTAAGTAATTAGTCAGATAGATCTATAAGGAGAATTTTCAACACTTATATTACGCCGTTTAACTCGAGATTGAATAGATGTTTTTTAATGTTGGTTCAAGTTGGTTAAGGTGAACTCAGTTCGTTCACAGTGAACATTCCTGAAAGAGCAATAACTAGGGCTGCAAAACCATCGATGGTCGATCCATCTGAGTCACCATTTACGGCATGTTATATATGTACTGTTTTTGTATATTTTGACTTTGAAATTGAGTTGACAGTATATTTACGGTAAATAATGGTATATTTTATCAATTTCATCAATCTATTAAATAAGCATACATATCCTTGTCACTAATTCACTTTCAAACAATTTCGCATCAAACGAACGCATTCAGTCGATAGTATCGATGGCCGAACTGGTTTCTTCGAATCGGTTACTGGCTCTTTTTGCTCTCTTCAAATCGGTGTATGTTCTCTCTTTCACTTTTTTTGATGTTCACATTCAAAATATTTTCATGTGATGGGGTAAAACAGGTATATCGTACATTAACGGAACCGGTTTTGGCATTTGAAACGGTTTTGAAACGGAAAAACGACGGATTTTTCTTTTGAACCAATGAAAATCGTCAAAAATGTTTGTCAAAACAGGTATATCGTACATTAACGGAACCGGTTTTGGCATTTGAAACGGTTTTGAAACGGAAAAACGACGGATTTTTCTTTTGAACCAATGAAAATCGTCAAAAATGTTTGTCAAACCGATATTTTTCTAAAAAAAAAACATGATGCTGCAGAAACATGCTTATGTGACCACTTCAGTTTTTTACCGTCTGCAACATGTATGGATCAGACTTATGTGCCGCGTATTTCGCGAAAATGTTTGTATTTGCAGGCTTCAACGAATGCAGAAACTAGTCAGATTCTGTTTTAAAGCAATTAACGATATTTTGCAGCTAGGTCTTCTTACAGAGGCTAAGTATAAGTATTGATCTTTATACGTATATATACAAGAAACTAATTATATGAATGAATGGGTCTAAATTATTACTAATCTTTCAACTAGGCTTTGAAAACAGAATTTTAATGTTAATTAAAATAAATAGGGTATAAAGCGATACTCTTAGCGGGTAGTTGACCAGCAACAATGACGAAACATTCCAGACAAACTTTCATTTATTTGTTTAAACCTTGTTTAAGAAGAAATTCAATGGAGTTGGGTTAGTTAAAATTAGCATATCTTGTAGAAAATGTATCTATCAATCGGGTAAAACTATGTGTTCAGGTCTGAAAGCCCTAGCTAGCCATTAATATAAAATCGAATATAAAAATAGAGGAATTTGGTTTCCAATCCTTGACGGGGAATTCATTGTAAACGATTCTTTAATATTCCACCGAAAATTATGAAAATGGATGAATCATTTGGGTGTAGTTCAAGTAAAAGATATGGTGGTTTTTATAAGTTCAGAGGAAAGATGGTAATATTTTCCGCCATTTTCATCAAGTCGCTGAACTGTTTAAATAGGTGGGTCTTAAGTGGGCTAAGTTCGTTTTTGTCATCGGTATATATTTTGGTATATTTCTGAGGGCCAGTAAGTATATTTTATCGCTAAGTTGCCGTCACACTGATTTTCTTGGCATCATGTCTAGCTCACACACCGTGCTAATTTCTTAGTATTTTCTAGTATATATGGACTCACCCTCTTGGCCAATGCACCAATGTATAAATCGTGTAGAAATGCCATTTAGAGCCATATCCCAGTCCACTTCGAATACTTATTCGTGACGAGCATGGAATTCCTGAACATTTACCCCAAAATCTCACTTTTTTCAAGGAAAATGCTTTTAGTAATTACATACAAATGTAGTAAATATGTAGCAAATGTGTAGTTAGCGTGTAGTTACCATGTAAGGAACTTAATTTCATGGAAATTGATGTTGACCGTTTTCGCTTAAAGCGCATTTTATAAAAAATCCCAAAAAGATGAAAACTTAGATTTAACCAGTCTTGTAGGAAATAAAATTTTGAGTTCAGAGCTGAGGGTCTTAGCTACTTAGTAATATTCAACCGAATATCAAAAACGCGGAAAATGTTGCAACTTAAATACAAATAATTCGTCAGTATATTTACGGTATATTTATATTTCCGTATATTTCTGAGGGTCAGGCCGTATATTTGATCAATAGGTCACACTGCGTTCCAGCTGGTGGGGCTCGTATTGGGGGAAAAAGCAACATCACATCACCGTGAAAAAATAGGGAAAAATGTGGTTTTCGGGCAAGTAGGTGCTAGGAGGTGAGCAGGGAAGTGGAAAATCGAATGAAAATTCGTTGAAACGCACAAACCCGATATGAAATAGCTGAAATTGCTTTCGTATTTCGTATTGGTACGAGTATCGTCGCACCAAGAAGCAAAAACAGCGACAGAGACACAGACACAGAGGCATAGGCAGTGGCTGAGTGGAAGCAAGAAGTCGAGGCAGATGACCGATGCAGAAGTAAAATCTACGTGCAAATTCGACAAACAGAGCTAAGATAGCAGTTGGGGCAGATATATTGCCGCAAACAGTTCTAATTATACAACAGCCGTAGTGTGTTCCACGACCCCCCCCCCTCCCGAAGAACGAAACTGGTTATACACACAGCAACGACGACGGACGACGAAGGAACGGGAGCAGCAGCAGCAGCAGCAGCGAAAGGCAGTTCGGCGCAGCGGAGAGTGAGGGTGAGTAAAAATCGATTTGTTGCACAAAACGCCACACAAACACACGACCATACTCTGCATTCGGGGTGCGAGTGGGCGACGGCGGTGTCGGTGGCAGTGGCAGCAGCCGAGTGAGGTGGGGCAGTGGTGATGGTGACAGCTTCTGGTGGTGCGATTTCTGGGCGAGCAGGGGTTCGCCAGATTGCCCAAATCTGTTCCACTGCAAATCTCCGGATGTGCGGGCTAACAAAAAAATCGAATCCAGCTCAAAATGATTTATTTCGATTCCAGGCACTCGCGACTGCTGTTCGATGGACAAAATCAAATCAAAGGTTATTGGCGTGCTGCGCGAACGCGACGGAGGCACGAATGTCAATCGAAGCGGCGGCGGTGTCGGCATCGGCATCTCCAATGGCAACGCCAATGGCGGCAGCGGCGTTGGCAGTCATCAGGTGGGCGTGGGCGTGGCCGCTGCAATTGGGGTCACGCAGGACAATGGCAATGGCAATGGCAACGAAGGCAACGCCCCTGGACCAGAGCGAAGCGATGGACATGCGAACAGCAGTGCACTGGCACCTGGAACCACCGGAGTGGGTGGGGCGGCACGCACATCGGTGCTGTCGCGACCCCAGACATCGAAAATCAGCGCTCTCGACCTGGCCGGCATATTGAACACTCGGCGGCGCCTAGAGTGGACCAAGGAGTGGCTGCGCAAGAACCAGGCCGAGTTCCTAAGCAAGGAGAATCTGCTGAACGAGCTGCAGTCGCGCAAGGACGAGTGCTATCACTTGAATTACTTCCTCGCCATAACCGAGAGCCAATTCCGCTACCTAGTGCAGAAGCTGGAGCCGATCATCAGTCAGTATGCGCCACAGCGGAAGAAGAAATCGTTCAGCGCCGAGGAGCGTCTGGCCATAACGCTCAAGTATTTGGCAACGGGTAAGCGGATCGATCCAGTCTTGAGGCAACTGCACCTCAATAAAATGGTATAATATGTTTTTTTTTCGCTTCGAACAGGTGAAGTGCATTCTTGTCGAAACTACTGCTTCCGTGCCTCGAAATTTGTGATAAACGAAATGATTGCCAATATCTGTCTGGGCTTCTACGAGCACCTCAAGGACCAATACGTGACACTACCAAAGACTGATGAGCAGTGGCGCAATGCGGCCACGGACATGGAGCGCAAGCACAGCCTACCCCAGTGCGTGGGTAACCTCTTCATGCGCAGCATTCAGCTGCAGAGCAATGTGGCCAGCAGTACCACTAATGGGGACGACCGCAAGCGGGCCACCGTCATCTTCACGGGCATCGTGGATGCCGACAACAATTTCCAGTATGCGAAGGTGGAGCGAGCGGCAAACAGTCGCCCCAACGATATATACAACCAGACCACTGCCGTGGAGCTGATCGAGCACAAGATGCACGCCCTGGAGGCGCAGTCAAAGCATCGTAATGGCTACTACTTTGTCGGGGACTCTGTGCTGCCAGCCACCTCATACTTGGTCACCACACGTAACTGGCCAAGGGACCGGTCAGTGCTCGACGCTCTCGAGCAGGTCAATGCTCACGCGGACCAGACCATGCGGATTCTCTGCAACATGTTCCCCATTTTGGCGCAGCCTCTGCGCGTTAGCGACAAGCATATCCGCGAAGTGGTTCTCGGGTGCGTGGCGCTGTACAATTTCCTGCGCAAGTCGGACGACTCTTTCCGCCGCAACAGCGACAGCATCGTGCAGCAGAAGCGCGGAGCGGAGCAGCAGCAGCTGGCGTATGCGGACAGCGAGGAGATCGACGATGACTGCATCATGCTGGCCACCGAGGAGGAGTTGCGTGAGCGGGCCGAGTTCACGCCCAGCGTTGGCCTGACCACCTGTTTCCAGACCCTGTGCGCGCAGCGTGGCGAGACGGCCGAGGGCCTGGCCAAGCGGGAATGGCTGCTACAGCTGCCACTGTCCAGTGGCGAACAAAATGGGACTGCGAATGAGAACGAGAATGAGAATGAGAATGGGAACGTGAGCGGGAGTGCTGCCAATACCAACGGAAGCGGCAGCGAGAACGGGAGTTTATATTAGAGCAATTTACCTAAGTACTAAGTTTACGAATTTTGTATAGTTCCTTGTTTTATATTTTGTAATCTATACTCTGTAACTGCATCGGCCGAAAAGTCGCCGACTATTGTTTACCTCTTGTTTAGCGCATTCTTCTTCTGCATACCATACGATTACCATTACGATTACCTGCGCTGTTCTACCTTCGTTCGTTCGTTGGTTCGTTCGTTCTGTGCTTCTCCTAGGGTCTGTATAGTTAGCTTAGTTTCTTATGGAAGTTCAGGTTCAGTGAATGACGCTATGTGATGTCTCAAATCTCTATTGTGGCCCAGTGCTCCTGGGGAGCTTAGCAATGCGGCAACAACCAGATTGTCGCGCGAACAGCGGTGTGAAAGTCGAAATTCGATTAAATAAAACGGAAACAGATCAACAAAATTAAAATTTTAGTATTCGTATTTAAGCAAGCAACAAATTATACATAATTATATTTACAATAAATGTGTAAGGAATGGTCTTTACGTGTCTAAATCTAAGCCCCATCCCGTCCCTATCGCATCTGCTTATCGTTTTCCTTTCAGATCTCGCTCCAGTGGGGCCACTGCTGCACCAGGGTGTACAATGCATCCCCGGGACTCTTTGTGGCGCTCACCTGGCGGTGCCCCAGCAGCTGATAGCTCTCCGCCAGCTGGCCCTGCCCAACAGCCTGCTCTAGAAGAGACTTCCCAGCCTCCAGGGCCGCATCGCTTGGCGGTTGCTCGTCGAAGTTGCCCATGAACGCGATGCCCAAGGAACCCTCATTGTTGGCACCGGCAAATGCTCCCCGCTGACTGGGGCTTCGACCCTCGTAGACGCGTCCATTGCCGCCGATCAAATAGTGGTAGCCTATGTCGGAGAACCTCTGCCTCGTCATCTGGTACTGCTGCAGATTGCGCATCAGGTTCGCACAGCCCTGATCGTCACTGCAGCCGCCTCCGCCCGTGTGGGCGATCACGGCTCGGGCCAGAGGTGTCTCCATGCTGTCAATATCCCCACTAGCTGGCCGAGCATTCCATTCGGCTCTCGTCACCACCGGGACATCGGCAGCGACGGCTGTGAGCGCCACAGCAAGCAGCACGAACCACGTTGCGATCATTCTGGCACCGTGTCTGTTGATCAACTGGGAGTGATCTGGGCCTAGAGCCGCTCTTATTGGTCGCTGATAAACCGCGTGGCCCTTGGGCGATAGCTTTTTCCCCCCGACAAGCTACATTCATACATATGTACATATATGAACAACACGGTTCGAGGTGATTTTTCTGAGCGTTGTTTGTAAATGACTTCCCCGAGAGGGCTAGCCAAAGAGTCTGCTTAGATACTCGTATGCCATGACGCAAGTCAAAGATGTGACAGGTGCGATCCGTACAGCTACCATCCATATGGGTTGAGGGGATTTTTTGGTCATCGATGTTTTTCAACTGGAAGTCAGTAGAGGGTTGTGCAAAGACTTTGAACGTATTTTAATTACCACCCAGTCTAGGATAAATGAAAAAAAAACATTATTCCAGAAAATAGTGCGTACCTTCCCATGAGCGCCATCGCCCATCGCCCATTTCGATTCCATTTGCATAGTCGTATGGGTGTTTTCGAAACTCTTAGAGCAACCCCTGATCAAGTGACTATCGCTGTAAACGTGCTTGTCGCTGATAAATTACTGGGGCTGTGTGGATCACACTTGAAAGTGGGCTAGTCAGGGTGAATCCCCACCGACTAAAGCCCCACCAGCTCCTCTAACTCTTCCGGTCGGCCTTCGCTCTATTCCAGTTCATACGAAGAAAAACCTCAATTTGACACAGATGTTCTATGCAGTAATTTAATTAAAAAACTTTCGTAATTAAATGCAAAGATAGCAAAAAATTGAGCAAATTGCGAGGAATTATCCAGCGCCTCTGGATGGAAGGAGTCGAGGAGCAAGGACCCTGAAGTGAAATCGTAAACGTGACAACGAAAATGCAAGTAAGCGCCCTCAATTAAAAGCCGAAATGACTATAAAGCGCCATAAAAAAGGGGGCAAAGGCAAAACCGCAACAGGCAAAAAAAAATCAAAAGCGAAACCAGAGTAAAACTCTCCTACGCCTGGCAGGAAAACGCGCTGGAAAATGGCAGAGAACCAGAAGAACTACAGCTGGGGGACTGGAATTAACTTAACTTGAATTTAAGCGAGTTTCAACTACTAGGAGAGGGATTTATCCCATCCCCCTCTCCTATTGGGCTTGCTGGAATGGTTATTCGAACTGTTGCCCCAGGTCTTGAACGAAACTAGGCTAATGCCAACCAATCCCTCCTCCCACCCACCGAGGCGGGAAAAACATATTTTTTTCTGTTCCGCATCTGGCTGGTGTCCTGTGTCCTGTGTTCTGGGGATGCGCCCACTCACCAGTCACCAAGGCAGCACCAAGGCAGCACAAGGCAGTGGCGCCAGGCTGGCTCATTTGCAAAATTGTCAGATTTATTTCGCTAATTGCTGCTCATCCGTTTAATTAAAATTAAAAGAACTTGCACAAGTTAGGGCGAAAGTTTTTATGCGAATTCTCTGGAATCTCGCATTGGGCACGTTTAGAGCTCCTCGTCCTCGCCCTCGTCCTCGCACACCTCTCCCGGAGCACCTCCCATTGTTGTTACTACAATGCCATCTATTAAATTGCTGTGCAAAGTTGGCGAGCGCCGAGCACCTGGCAACAAGCAACTTGCCACCAAAAAGATGGTGATGATGATGTTGCGGAAGGCTGAAGGCGGCAGGCGGCAGGCGCCCCGGGTAGGCTTTCAACTCTGGACAGGCAACAAATTAAACTGCAAGTCTTGCAGGCTCCGTTAAAGCTGTCACATTTCCCAAAAGGTGTCAATCGGGCCAGCCCAAAAGTTGCGGCGAACAAGGAAGCATGAAAGCAACAACTATTTGCAACTACAGGGCCGGGGACTGGGACTGGGAATGGGACTGGGACGGGGAGGGAAGGGGCTTGAGGACTCCCACAACTACAATTTGCACGCAATGCTGCACCATCTGGTGTGGCACCTCCTCCTCCAGTGGCGCCAGCAGCACGAACCGGAAAGAGCAAAAGTTGCCTGCAACCACACTGTGGATTCGGATTTGGGCAACTTTTGCAGTGCGGATTGCGGATTGACACCCACCGCATGCCACGCCCCGCGCCCCGCGCCCCGCGCCCTGCGCCCCACGCCCGATCCAAGGGAGAGTGTCGATTGGAGGGCGACATTTTTATGACAACTTGCTTAAATTTCATAACAGAACTCCTGCAGAAAAGGAAAACTTATTTCGTTTACGAGTCGGAAAACTTGTCTGTGTGTGTGCCAAGGGCTAGGGGCCGGCCGTCGATGTCGATGTCGATGTCGCTAATGAATAAAGTTCGCTTGTGAATATCCACGGCAAGCACTTGCTCGGGATTCGGGGTTGCATCGTAAAGCGGCTGGAGATACGACCCCGGCCAGATGCATCTGCATCTCACGGGGGAAGATAGCACGCATCGGTGTGTGTGCCCCACAAGTCCGATCTTAGCCGAGTTCTGGCACTTCCTCGATTGCGGCCTTGAGAGACCCCACCATTTTCAGTGCTTAAATCTGCAGTACTGTACTTTTGCTGATTCGATTCTAGTGCAATCCGAAGAAAAAATCTGTTTTTTTTTAGTTTTACTGACTTTTGTGGTGTTTTTTATTCAGGGCAAAAGCTGTATGATTCTCCGACGTTGCACTTTGGAGCACCCCCATTGGGGGCAAAGGAAGCTGCTGTACTATTTTTAATATGGAACGAAAAGTATGCGCAACAATATAGCGCAATATTAAAGTCAAACGATGTGCGTAACAGCAAGCTCATCTTCATCATGATCGTCATCATCATGCTGCCCTGGCAGGCACATCGACGTTTTCGAGCGTCCTGCATTGGCATCAGCTCCTGCTGCAGCTCCAGCTCCAGCTCGTGCTCCTGCGGCAGCTCCAGCTTGGGCTCCTGCTGACATCTTGTCAGAAATTTTCATGCTGCTGTAAGCTGTTTTCATGCACATTTTGGGCACTTGTGCTCGGCACAAACACTTCAATTTGGCTTCAAGGATGCGTGCATGCGGGCAGGACCCATGAATGGAGACAGGGCCATGGCCATGGCTAGGGCCAAATCCAGCTGCAGACGAAACAGAGCCGGAGTCAGTGAAAAATCAAGCAGCAAGCCGGAGTCAGTGGAAGTAGAAAGGGAAGGGGGAGTGGCAAAGTGGGGAAGTGGGGAAGTGAAAGCACCCAGTCAAAGTGCCGGAAGGAAGTGCGCTGTGACGTTGCAGGGGGATATGACGCTGCTCCTGCGAGGATACACTCGTGCTTCCACTCACATGCTATGCTGGGGATATGGCGTCAAACAACATGCAACTCTTTAACTATAACTTTTGATATATGCCGAGGAAATATTGTGGGAGTGCACTCAATCGTGGTTGCCCAGGCATCAGCAGGGGCATCAGCAGCAGCACCAGCACCAGCACCAGCAGCAGCAGAAGCTTCCCATCCGAAGGATCGGGAGCCCCATCAACTACTTAGCGTCAAAACGCTTAAAGTTGAATTTGTAACGCTTCAAGTATGGCAGCGGCACAAAGCCAATGGAGTGTGTGCAAGGGAGACAGCCCTCAGCCAGCCGTAGGAGTCCCGCAGAGAGAGAGACAGTGAGAGAGAGAGAGAGAGACAAGGCATGAGACCTGTCTAATGCCAGTTTACTCATCTATTTTTATTAAATCGCCACGGATACACACTCCCACAAGCCCACACGTGGAGAGCGTGGATGCTCTGTTGCATCGCTGGTATACGCCGACAAATGTAAAGTTACGTATACGCAACAGCAGAAAGAGAGAGAGAGAGCTAGTTCTGCACAACGTGCCACAGCAAGGAAGGAATTCATCGCTTACATAAATCATTATTATTGTGGGCTCGAGCTGAAATGTTTTCTGTAGGCTCTGGACCGAAATCTAAAGCTATTCCGAAGCCAACAGCTTCTAGAGCCAATTTCTACTGCATTCTACTAGATTAAGCCAAAGTCGACTTCTATTGCGCGCAGGTTCACGACCCCATGTTTATTGGTATCATTATGAACGCTACAACGCGATGAACCCCATCTTTTGTACTAAATATACATAGATATAGGCTATCGAATCGCAAAAAAAAGTGGGAAAAATCTTCTTTTTCTACCTTTTTTGTACATCGAAGGCGAAAATGCGCATATTCGGCTATCGTTCATGTTTTCAGCTGTCCAACAGATACATATGTATGTATATGGAATGAGTGGACGTGGACCTGTGGAAAATACAATACGTACAAATACAATGAACAAATATATTCCTTGAGAATGAGACAGAGAAAGCACTTGAGCATTTTAAAACTCGGAAAATGCTTGCTCTGTTATTGATATACATATTTATATTTACAAAAAGGTTTCTACCTAAAATTACTTTACAGATTGTTGCAAACTGTTTCAGACGCTTGCAGCATCCTTG